GAAGGTATGAAATGTAAAGACTTTGACAGTTTCGAATTTGATTCATGCATGGTTTTTAATTTAATGCGATTGTTAGAGGTTGATAACTGCTTTGTTATCCCCCTTGGTTTAAAAGTTAAAATACTTGCTGACATCTCGTTCGGAAGTTGATTTCTGAACTTTCCGTTGTTTGAATTGTTTTATATGCTAAATTTTAAGATCAAACAATGGACGTTTATTAAATTTCCAGTTTGTACATTACCTAGTGGCTCATCGAGGTATGCATTTCTCGCATTTACCCGTCGCTGAACTGGACTTAATTTTGCAATTAGGAACCTCGATTTTTGACTCATCCGTAGAAACACTTATGTACTTAGGGATAAATAAATACCACATGCCTTGTTTCCAAACCGAGCCAGAAATTGCTGTCCCGAATTGCAAAATATAGTCCAACTGATGGTGGTCTTTTGCCTCGGGGAATGGGACCCACGCCACTGTGCGTGAGAGACTTGGATATTGGACGTATCCGATCGTGGGGCTGACACAAGGCTCTCGTTACACAAGTTTATTATTCTTTTATTTTCAACAAAGATGCTCGTGAGACCAGCTCGCGGGTGAGGTAATCCTGAAAAATTGACTCGTGATAGGCCTTCATACGCCATGTAAAACTATCGGTAATGAGAAGTAATCAGGAGGCGAAATGCGTAATTTCGCGCTCCAGCTTGTTTTCATACACTTGGCAGGCTTACTCATTGCATCTCTGTGGTGCAGATAGTCGCATGCTCGAACAGGATGGCGAGCTCTTGAAAAGTAGGGGACATCGGGAAAAGTCAGTGAATTTTGCTGCGGAAAAATGTGTGATATTTTTCCGTTCGCCTTTCCTTCCTTTTGAAATATTTTTCTCGGTGTATAAAAGAATGGAATACTCATTGCATCAGTGTGGTGCTGATAGCCGCATGCTCCAACAAGATGGGGAGCACTTGAAAAGTAGGGGAAATCGGAAAAAGTCAGAGAATTTTGCTGCGGAAAAATTTGTGATATTTTTCCGTGCGCCTTTCCTTCCTTTTGAAATATTTTTCTCGGTGTATGAAAGAATGGAATACTCATTGCATCGGTGTGGTGTAGATAGCCGCAGGCTTTAACAGGATGGCGAGCTCTTTAAAAGTAGGGGAAATCTGAAAATGTCAGGGAATTTTGTTTCGGAAAAATTAGTGATATTTTTTCGTGCGCCTTTCCTTCCTTTTGAGAGATTTTTCTCGGTGTATGAAGGAATGGAATTCTCATTGCATCAGAGTGGTGCAGATATCCGCATACTCTAACAAGATGACGAGCTTTTGAAAAGAAGGGTAAATAGGAAAAAGTCAGAGAATTTGGCTGCGGTAAAATTAGTGATATTTTTCCGTGCGCCTTTCCCTCCTTTTTAGAGATTTTGCTCGGTCTATCTAAGAATTGAGAAGAATTTTGAGGAAAGATAATCTAGTCGTTTGATTATTCATCTTTTTCTAGAAAAGCACAACCAAGGACTAAGTTTTTAAATTTTACACTTTATTATATCCTATCCAACCGAAGAAAGCTGTAGTGTTTCCAGCCGAAACGTCTTGGTTGTACTCGTTTTTCTAGCCGGCATTGCTGCTCAACCCAGTCGCATGGGTGTCACTGACCAGAGCTCAGTTTTATGAGCTTTTGAACATCCCGCGTAATTGGCCGGAGAGGGTCGGATCACCATGAAACCGGTCGTTAAAACCTCGGTTTTGGCAAGATGGCGCGAACAAAATCCCCCAATACCTTTCGACTTTCCCTTTTTCGGAAGTACGAGTATCATGTACCGAAATTATTTTCGCCCAACGCCGAACGTGTCGTGGACGCTTGCGTCACGACCAGTGGCGAGGCGTGAATATCGATTATCGATATTTTCCCATTTGAATCTGGTAAAGAATCGATTATTAAGGTGTTCGCTACGAGCACCCTGTATATCGATCCTTTTTCAAGGGTTCAAATGGCAGATCAATCGATATATCGCAAAGCACGTCACGCTACTGACCTCGGCTCTTGACTCGATATTTCAAAGAATGCGTGGAAGTCTGATGTTTCGTAATGGACATCACCGGACGAGTGTTTGAATGAAACGATGGTGAAACTGAATAATCACTATCTCTACATTTGTCTCCAGGGTTTTAAACCGTCAGACTGCAGGAGCGTGGACTATGTAGCAGGGTGTCTACCAGTCCGTAAAGTCCGGAAAGAGTACGCATTTTTTAAGGTCGGTCCGTAGGTACCTTAAAAGTACGTAAATCTCGCGGAGGGTCCGTAGTTTTTCGCATTTTGCGCTGCGCGTTCAGCTCGATCGCCTTATAGTTATGCAACCCTCTGTGCGTTGGCCGTTAGGCGTATTAGTACAATGTCAGCCTATAAGAACGCGGTTGTTGTAGAGGAGCGGAACATGGCATTTCCCTCGATTTGACGGAAACAGCCAAAAAGGCCACGGGAATAGCCGAAGTAGAGCGCGCGGCAGTGCCAAAATTGAAGAATTGCGATACGTCGCGAAAAGGTAGTTAAAAATTACTTAATTTTTCTCCAAAGCGAGGTACTTAAATTTTTCCTTAAGTACCTAACAAGTACTTCAAAAGTACTTATTTTATTTTTGTGGACCTCAGTAGACACCCTGTGTAGAGACGGACCCCCTGAAATCCCGCCTCAATGGTGGATTTTGATTGCTATGAGACCGTGGATGAATTCAACGCAAAAAATTATGGAAGGCAGCCATAATTTTTATTATGGCTGCCGTTATTCCCTTTGTGTTGGTCCATAACCGACAACCGTCACCAAAATTCAGAAAAAACCGCAATAATATGCCCAACTTAATTTCATGCCCTGCGCAACGGACCTAAAATTAAAGTAAGAAGAAAACCGTGTAAAGTCGCCATTCCCGCACCGACCCCACTTTCGCCCAAGAGGCAAATTGGTCGGCCAGACAAGAGCATCCTCTAATTTGTATGTTTTCAAATCGCGAGAAAGCATTATGAAAATCGCAATTAATAGCAAATCGGCCGATGCTAAAACTACTATTTCCTCGTTTTCTCGTGAATCCGAGAGTGAATGCATTCTTATGGACGTCAAGGCTCATCAGAAAATGGAACTTGAGAGGTTTTATCGTAGATCAATCTGTGAATAGAAGGCTCCTTTGTGAGCTGCGGGAAGGAAAACTGCCGGGAGCTGTGGAAACGCAGGAGCTTGGGCCGATCTGCCGTGCTAAGGAAAAACGCCGTATGAGCATTCGAGAGTTGCCGAATTTCCCCCGATAAAGTTTTCATTTTTGAGGAAAGATATAGAATATTTTTCATCGAAATTTTCGGACACTTCAGATCAAATTACGAACGAAATTCTCTGAAAAATTGAAAGAAAAGGATTCACAAATTTCCCCGGATATTTATGATTTGTCAGAGGAAATTTGGCAACGTCTGAGGGCTCATGCGGCGTTTTTCCTCAGCACGGCAGCGATCTTCTCGTTGTCGCAGTGAGAGGCAGAAGCAGGCTCGAGCCCCGCTTCCACAGACAGCGCGTGACACGAATCTGGTCAGCTGCGCGGGTAATATTCTTTGAAAGATAGATCAAACTTGTTCCCAGAAACATAATTTTTTATGATTTTTCTGGGAAACTCCCCGAGACGTAATATTGCCCGTATGAACCACTATGAAACCATTAGATCGAACTGGGGAGCAAAAAAATTTCTATCATCTTTAACAATAAGTGGCAAGAACTGCAGTGGCGTGGCGTGGATTGCGATGTATCGATTGTTATGCCATTTAAACCTATAGTAAAGAATCTATTATTAAGGTGTTCGCTGCGAACACCTTGTTTATCGATCCTTTTCCATAGGTTTAAGTGGCCTGCCACTTTATTTGGGGACTCCAAAACTGAAAACGCGGCAACCCTACTAATGTATTTGCTCCCCATCTTTGCATGGAGAGTTTTTTTTTTTTTTTTTTTTTTTTTTTTTTTTTTTTTTTTTTTTTTTTTTTTTTTTTNGAGATGATTTCAGAGAAAACCAGTGGCACCATCGTGTTTCTCGCGAACTTTTACATAAGAATCATTGGTCAAATCGCAAATCCCTCACACATGCAACATCTCCATTTTAAAGGAAACTCGTTGTCAAAAATACGAATGTCTCCGCTCTGCTGGGTAACACGGCGCAGTATAGACATATCAAAAATCATTGCACCCAGTCGCGCGCACTGGTTGCGCGGCATGGCCGCGTACCGTTTGTGGAAGCGTAGCTTGAATAATCAAGTGGAGAACCAGGCCGGAACGAAATTGCTGATCGAGGATGGAGTGCATGTCTGATTCCTTGATCCTGGCCTGGCTTTGATGTCAAGCAACAGTCCTCACATTGTCCAGCCCTCCCCCCCTTCCCTTCCTTAACGAGTATTCGGATCATCTCGTGGTAATTTATGTTTCGTTTGTACTCATACCTGTACAGAAAAAAAAAGGCTGAACCTTACTTGCTGTGGGGGTCATGATTTTTCCTATAATAATCAGGGCTGCCACAATCAGGGGAAACTGGGAAACGTCAGGGAATTTCGAAAAGTCAGGGAAAACCGGGAAATGTCAGGGAAAATGACGAAAATGTCAGGGAAAATTGATCGTCGACACCGTGATCATATTTCATAGGAGTCAGAACTTTTTACTTTTAGATGATCATGGTGTCAACAAAAACTTATAAAAACTGTTAATTGACACCATGCTACGTAACCGCGGATTTCCTTTCGATTCAAGCAAAAATCCGATTGAATCAAGAGTATTTTGTCCCGTCAATTTTTTTATGAGTCCGAACTCGGTGCTGATAGACTTATTTCCAGTGAAAGACGTTCACTAATGGAACCCAAATGATTTAATTTTCAACACCCAACTCTACAGTTGAAGCTCTTGCTGTTCAAATAACCATTAGCATGACTCCTTTATTGCTACTCGGTCGTTGTTTCGCTTCTTTTTTCCATTGATTTTGTTCATTGTTTCTGTTGCAGCTTCGTATCCAGTTCAAGGATGAAACGACCACCTACGAGTACGTCTCTGAATCATCTCTGCTGGAAGACCTCAGCCCAAGTCCCATTCCAACCTGTGGCCAGTCCTCTCCCAGCGTTCCGTCCGTCATAGGTGAGCTCGTCTCTTCGCCCTAGTAGAACAAGCCTGCTCCGCATTCTGCCATCCACGCCAGGCGCCTCACAGTGGATCTAGTCGAAAAGAGAGGTCGGACAAACTTTGCGGGGTTGCCACAGTCAGGGAAAACCGGGAAACATCAGGGAATTTTAAAAAGTCAGGGGAAACCGGGAAATGTCTGGGAAAATGACGAAAATGTCAGGGAAAATTTGTTGAATCACCTTCATTTGCTTTCTAGAATGGGTTTGAGGTTTCGAACAACAAATTTTGCCTGAAAACTATTTTCAATTATGCCTTCTTAACCATCCGTCACATCTACAATTGTCAGGGAATTTCGCCAAAATGTGTCAGGGAAATCAGGGAAATGTCAGGAAATTTTATTTTCTAAATTCTGTGGCAACCCTGACTGGAAACTTTAAAAGCTCACACTGTATACTCGTAGAGCTACAAAGGATGAAACTGCGTTGAGCAGAAAGGAACTAAGCCACATCAGCTATTGCCAAAAATCGGGCAATTTAATTTTTTACATTAAAACGGTTTTTTAAAACGGTGCGGATTTTTGTTCAAACGGTACATTTTCGGAATAGTAAGAACGAACCGAATTCCTTGAAAATTTTCAAAGGAATCCGCACAATCTCGTAAAAAATTAGATTGCCCAGTTAAATTTGAATGTTCGTTGATTCGTCCGTATTAACGTACAGTCGGACATTCTTTTTTTTTTTAAAAAAAATAAATAAAAAAAAAATCAGCATTAAGTCGCGGCGTTTTTGCCTTGGACGGCAACGTCGCAATGTGGCCCTTGGTCATTTCGATTCGACGCTTTGGCCGGGCGCCAGTTTCAGCTAGGCTGTAACCTGCACTGTCGACCCTAAGAAGAATGCCGGGTGAACCTTCTGACGTCGCAAAATTCTCTCCGATAAAACATCATATTTCAGGGAGACTCGTCGAAATTCTTCCTCCGATTTTTCAGGGGATTTTATCCTCCATTCGAAGTGAAGTATCCGAAATTCCTCACCTCCCGGCCGAAGTAACACAAGCGCCATGAGACGTTTAAAAATGTAATCCCGCCGCCATTTTATTTTCTTACAGAGAGGTTGTTCAACGAAGCTGTCCGAAAATTTCACTGAATTTTCTTAGTGCTGCCGATATAATTCAGTGAAATTTTCAAACAGATTCAACCAACAATTTCTCTGTAAAAATTAAATTATGGCATAAAATTGGAAACGTTGCATGGATCTTGTGATACTTTGGCCGGAAGGTGACGAATTGCACTGGAAAAAAAACACATTGGATTTAGATTCCAGACTCTTCAAAACATTGATAAGAAAAAATACTCTTGATTCAATCGGATTTTTGCTTGAATCAAAACGAAATCCGCTCAAACTAAGAGGCTTGGTTCTTGATTTAAGCTAGATTCTGATTGAATCAAGAGTACTTTTTCTTGTCGATGTTTAAAAGAGTCTGGACTCTAGATCCAATGTGTTTTTTTTTTCCAGTGTGCTAAGGAAAAATATTCATAATTTTCCTCAAATATAAATAGAATATCGAGGGGAATTCGGCATCGTCTCAATGCTCACTTAGCGTTCTTCCTTAGGATAGTAGTGCACGGGATCTGAATGAACCATCGAGTCAGTGACCATGTCCCGGACTTGGTAACTCTCATGACCCAACAATAAAACATGCGCCTTACGTCATTTTTCCCGCAATAAAGGAAGACGACTTCTTGCCAAAGTCCGGGGTTTCGATCGATCTAAATGATATTTTTCGATGATAGGGCGTTTGCTGGCTTACGCCCTTTCTGCGGAGAACACGTATTCTGAATCCTTACGATGTCATATCTATGTGGAATTATTATGCTGTAAGGTAAAATGACAGCTAGAAATGAAGCGAATGACGAACATGTTCTGTGGTAAAAGTGTCTCCCGGCAATATATGCAAATTTTGTGATAGATCCTTGAAATTTTGTCCAGCGCTTCTCGAAGCCAATACACTGGGGAAAAAAACACATTGGATCTCGAGTCCAGACTCTTAAAAACATCGACAAGAAAAAGTACTCTTGATTCAGTCAGAATCTAGCTTAAATCAAGAAACAATCCTCTTAATTTAAGCGGATCTCGTTTTGATTCAAGCAAAAATCCGATTGAATCAAGAGTCCTTTTTCTTGTCAATGTTTTCACGAGTCTGGACTCAAGATCCAATGTGGTTTTTTTTCCATTGTATCTGGAACCAGGCTCTCGAATTTGTATAAAGCGATTGAAAGCCCCGGAGCTATGACGCTTCAGCGCTTCTCTGCGATTTTCTCATTTCCGGAACAGGAAAAAAGGTATTGGGTAATTCTAGCCCATTTCAGGTACTTTTTCATCGTGTGAAGGAGATGAATGGGTCCGAATTACACAAAATATCGACCAGCCTCTCGGAATATTTTTTGTGTATTATCCTCTACCTGCCTGCACCTTCTACCTGATATTTTATTTTATTGTTTTTTGCCAAGCTTATATAACTTTAGCAATGTCGATTAACTGGTCTCCTTTTTTTTCAGGTAATGTCAGTAGTTTATCCAGCTATACTCCAAGTAAAGCACAGTTAGGGAATCAAGACTTTCAGCTCGGCGTCACGAGAGCATCCTCGGCCGTCCACTCGACTGTAAATGTACCATCATCACCCGCTCAATCTGACCAAAGCAAAACCGAAAGTGACTACTTGAAACCGGCGGAGGACAATGAGACCCTAACCTGGAGCGAAGGACAGTCGGCAGACTTACTCTTCTAAACATTCCGAATTTTCGACCCATTCCATTTCATTGTCATTCCGATTGTGTTCGACTGTACTCATTAAAAAATCTATGCTTTAATGTCTTGCCATCAACTAATAATTGTTTTGTACAAAGTATATTTTTGTAATTTTCGATACTGAAAATTGTTGAAATGACCGCATAAAATTCAACAGTTTCAAGTGCGATCGAGTATGCACTGATACAAAGACTCTAGAGCTAAGACTCAACGGAGGGGGGAAAAAACGTGAATACTCAGCTAAGTGAGAAAATAATTCAAAATAGAGTTCCTGGAGGTATATTATTTTTTATTTATTTTGTTGGAAGATTTAAAATCGCATTTTTGCATTTGGTCACACATTTTCATCAAGAGAAGAAGTTTTTATCAATTTCACCTTTCAAAATTAACTCTAAATTCGTATTACTGGTACTTTCCTTCTCCCAAATTCGATATAAATTAAAATGTAAAATACCCTTAAGAATGTTTCCCACCCTTGTAAGTAAGTGGGTAAATTAACATTATAACCAGCAAATGACTATTAAATGTATCCTGTTAAGAGTGAATTCAGCTCTGTCATTTGCATAACCAACATTGCAAGGATTCATTGCATAGATCATCTTTCATCTAGTGAATTTCACTGCCATGTGTAATAGACCCCTCAATAACATTGTGCCTGTGTACCGTCTTTGCTACCTTCCTCATTTTATTTGAGGGTGTAAGGCACCTCTTATTTGTGCACTGGAAACTTTTCCCAAATCTTTTTGCAAAACTGATAACCGAAGTTAAACAAAAAACAGAAATAAAAAGTTCTAATGCATTTTAGAAATTGAAAAAGTTGGCATGAAAAGAAACAGCAGTACCAAAATTAGTCATTTAGTCTTCAGGCGTGGAGAAATTAAATGGTTGTAAGAAATGGGGATACTTCGATTTTCATTGTCTAGGGAAAAGTAAAAGAAAAGTTAAGGAATTTTGAAGAGAACTGTTGAACTGGACTGTCAGTGAAGATTAATATTTCGAGTGAGTGATGAAAATTTCAATAAAAATCGGCTAATTATCCTTTAAAGAAAAATAAAACATGAGCGGAGACTTAGTACACTGCAATCCCAAGCATACATTTTTATACTCCGATTAGTGATGTGTATGTCATGCAAATACGTCCCTCTGAGAACTTTGTGTATGCGTAACCTTCTCGCCACAATCATTTTTAAATTCATTTCCAGAAAGCATTATGAATGTTAGAGATTTAATAATGGCTTGAATGGGATATGGCTTATGCCAATGTTAAGATGACTTTTCTTTCTTTTTTTTATCCACAAAAAGATCTTTAAGTTGAAAGTTGCATCAGAAGTGCTGAAGAGAGAATTTTTACAGAAAATTTTGTAATTACTTGCTTGATTCAAACAGTGTCTATTGGTCTATTGCCCTCATGTTGGCACACTCTCTCGTTGCTTTGTGTGGAATTACTGTAAGAGTAAATAATCTAATTGCAGGTGTGTGTCTAGTCTATCACTATACTTCCTCTCTTTTTACAGTAAATTCCTGAAAAAGTAATCATCGAAAAAGGAGGCTGGATTCCTTTGCTTTAAAAAATTGATCTGTATTTTCAAAATTTAAATTATTTGAATAATTCTTTTCCGAGGTTATCTCATTTGTTGAACTGCTTTTTTTCAGCAATGATCAAATGAAAGAAAATCATGTCGAGGTAATAATTATGTTTGTAATTGAATGAAATTCAAATCTGAAAACCCATAATGACTAAACTTTCAGCTGCTGTTAAAAAATAAAAATTTCTGCCCTCCTCATAATTTTTTTTTTTTTTTTTCTATTTTTAATATAAAAAATGTAGAAAGAGTGATTGCCTCAAGTCAATGTGATTGTTGTGATGCTTTGAAAGTCAGCTGCATTTTCGAAAATGTTTTTCCTCAATAAAAATGTATGATCTCAATCTCGGAAACTTTTTTAGAAATTGCTCAATCGCGTGTGCATTATTTTTTAGGAGCTTTTTATATGCTTTGACTAGCTTCCTTTAATTTTTATTCTCAAGCATCATTGAATTGCTCGAATTTTTAAATTCTTAACTCTTTCTTCCTGCAATTTGAGAGAAACAATTTTTTTCTATTCATATTTGTGAAATTTGAAATAAGCTTACAACAACTATGATAACACCCAAGTGTCTTTGGCTCATTGAGATTTTTCTAATTATTTTTTTTTTTTTGCATTAATGGCATAGATTCATGCAATATTTATTGATAGTTTTCACAAGTAGATATCTCCTTAATATTTGTGTGTGTTTGCTTTGATAAGTTTCCCTCAGAATAGTATGAAAGAAATCTTTGTCCCTCTGTCCAAAATTATCATTAACAGAGATCATAATCACTACTCTGACAGCTAATACAGGATGATTCAAAAGTCCCGCATCACCCTTAAAAACCCTTATTCTTATCCCTTTAAAATTTTAGGAGGGACCCAAAGGGTTATCTTTGACGTAAGAGCACTCACAAAATTTCAAGTCTTAATGTCAATTTATTCAAAAATTACAGCAGTGATGCATGGTGCTGATATTGCAGGACTTTTGGATCACCTTGTATGTACTTCACTGTAAGGCGAATAAGATTGACCATTCTCGATTCCTGAATGTCTGTGCTCTTATTATTATGTATTGTAATCATCTTGTTTTATTAAAAACTTTTGGGCCTACTCAATAAAAATATGAAACGAAAGGTTTTGCCTTTAACTGAAGCTAAATTCGCCCTCCTGTCGTACATTTAAAAAACATATTTCTCAAAAGTACCCATTGGTACCGATATTGCGCGTAGCTTTTGCTCAAGAAAAGAAAACATCACCTGGGCAAAGGTAAATTAATTATGATTTCTCATCAAGGAGTTCCACCCATGAAAGTCCTAGAACCTTCAGTTCAAGATGACAGCTGCTGTCATATGAGTAGCAGGGAAAGTTATGTCAAGTAGAAGATGCATCCTAAGTTTCAATAATTATCAGAAGTCTCTACTTTTTGGATTAGAATTGCTTGTTCACAAGATGAAGGATCAGCATTTATTATATTTGCGGATCTGGGTTTCTTAGGAGCAAAGCCGAGAGCTATGGTAAGATCTAATTTGCCTGAAAATGGAGCTTGTTTCTTTTAAATTCTTTTGCCGCCTCCCCCCCCCCCAAATCACTCGAGTCCTTCGAAACGTTTATTTTACTCCACACAAATTTATTTATTGTTTCTCTTATCCTTTTTTTTTCAATGAACTGTATTCATTCCATTTATTGTTTACGTTCCTTCTCATACTCATTGTACTTACGTTTTGTTTTATTTTTTGGCATTTATTATTGAACAAAACCAAAATCGATTTCCTTTAAACAGGAGCTAGTAAAGTTAATTTTGAAAAAAAAAAAATTGCTGGTTCTGCTTTATCTATTTTCTTTATTTTTGTTATCTTATTTTATTTTTTTCAAATTTTTATCATTATTTTAAACTTAACTACCGACTCCCCTTTTTAATTCATGATTTTCTTTGAAAAGGAAAAAATTAGCTACTCAGTGAACTGTTGCCTTACCTTTTTTGTGGTTTCCCTCCCTTGTTTTCCATTTCAGCTGCAATCCTCATCAGCTTGTATTATGGCTCTTAATTTAATTAATTTATTTTAAACTGTCATACATTTTTATTAATAAAAGTAGATACTTTCATACACTGTATGTGCTCATGTATTTTGCATTGTATATTTCCATTTAAAGTTGTATTGTACTTGATGAATTAAATTTTTCTAAAAGATTGAATATCAGTTCTAAGTCTCATTTCCGTTGCCCCTGTCAAATTACTTGAAGGAAACTAGAATGAAGAGGGATTAGAAAAATGAATGGACACTTCTGGTTATGAATCAAACACGAAGTATATTCTAAAGAGCCAGTACACACACACATACATAAATCGATCACACAAACATAGGATATAGCATTTAAGAAGTAACGAACAAAATTGCAGATATTAAAATCGAGAGGAAAAGTAACTACAAAGAATTATAAATGAATATGTAAAGTAGATTCCTAACTAGTTACAGAACAAATGACTGGGAGCGTGGTAATTAGTCTATTTACTCAAGCTGTAAAAACACGGTGAGATATTCTTGTGTTCAATATACATCATATTTTTAAAAGATAAGTTTAGACATAAAGAGAATAAAATTAATGACTTATAAAGCATATTATCAATAGTGCCTGATAAGAAATCTGCTTTTAGCAAAGCACAACATATTCTTGATGGGCGAAGCATCGGTTTGTAGAAATGTAATAAACTGGCGATGGTAACCAGAATTTGCCTCCATTTCACTCTGAATTGAATGGGTATCATTATAAATTTAGAGGAGAAAAAGGAAGGGATATTTTGCAAACAATTCAATGTAACTTCTGCTACATTAATTTTTTTACTTTTTGCCTCTTCAAGACTGTTCTAATAAATAAGTGCTTGATACTAATTAATTACACAATGAAAGTGCACAGGGATTTATTAAATTTCCTTAAAATAAATATCAGACTTTAATTTAAAGGAACTTTAGTGACCTGCCTACTCTTTCACATTAATTTTTTCCCTTTCCTTTTTATAAAACTTGCATTATCTAAATTTTCCTCTATGACAAACAAAATGGAGAACACTTCTAAATTTATTCTTCCTAGATAGCAGACTGATTTTCATATGTATGAAACTTCTGTTTCTACAGTTGATTGAAAAAGCAATCAGTGCCTACTAGACAATCGAAGCAGATCCTAAACTTGCGGCAACAATACACATTTCCACTTTCAACTCTCTGAAATATCCAGCTAATATTCAGCAAACTATTACAGTGTTGCCAGATTTCATAGGTGCATAAATCTATGGATAGGTGCATGATTATGATGATAATGAACGGTTTTTGCATCTGGATTTTCAAATTGCTGAGATCAGCTCTTCCGACATATCTTTCAATCAGACTATGACGATTTCTTAACTTCAATATATTGGCAAGAGTCAGAGAGAATAAAATAAAATAGAAACTGTTCTTGTCTCGGGGTATAAAATCTTTGATACTTTGCCTTACTACACTTAAATTTGGTTACACTAGAAACAAAAAACTAGAAAAAACTAACATGACAATAGTTTGAAAAACCAAAATAAAATGAACCCAAACAAAGTGAACCCTAATTCAATAGACTAATTTACAAGTAACATCAAACCAAGTAAACAAAAATTATTAGAAATAATGAAAATTAAAATAACATTCGATGGCAGTTTCATCCTAGTCAACTTCAAGTGGTGAAATTAATAATTTTTTTGGTCAGAAACAAACAAAACTATTAGTCAAGACTAGAAATATTTTAGCGACTTTATATACTTTTTATAATTTAAAGGAGGAAATAAGTCTGACTGGTTAAGCGGAAGCAAAATTATTTTTTTTTGGTAACAAAACGAGGGTCAAATCCAAGCTTACTACGGAAGATAAACCGTCTGTAAATTTTGAACCCATCCAAATTCACTCAGAGAATTAGGCAATAATCATTAGTCAAACAAACAGTTCCACAGGTGGGTGAGTTGACACACAAGTGTGATTAGTGACTGTCAAAACGAATATTATTTTCAGAGGTGCCACTTCAACTCGAAGTGGGATAGGCTTTATAAGCTCTTTTTAGTGGATTTGAATTTGAAAAGAAGGGCCAGAAATTTACTATCTGTAAATTAGAACTGGCAATGGAAAAAAGAGAGTCTTTTAATTGATTAAGTCCAAAATGCTTAGGAGTAAGCCCGTCTTATTTGGTGAAATATTCGAGTAAGCTGACAGTGACTGAAACCATCTCTCTATTTAAACCTATTGAAATCTATCGATTATCGGAGGAGACAGGCGTTTCAACTAGAATCGAGTATTCAACACAGGTTTAAATGGAAAAAAGCTAGTGTTGCCAACTTGCTGGATTCACCTTTGACTGAAACGGCAAGCGGTGAAAAACTCTCTGATGCAGGAGTAGATTTGATTGACATATTAGGACTAAAACATTTACTTGCTGACACATATCTAGATTAATTATCATCTGGAATCCTACATTTTTCAAAAGTACCGACACGTTTTAACTTGCGCGTTTTGAGCTGGAAAAAGAACCATTTTTTCTGACCAGTGGTAAAATTGGCAGAGGAAATCAACTAAAGATTCAAGATATATTGAATAATGAGATCACAAAGGATTTGAGCCTGGAAAAATTCCTTACATTTTTTTGGAAATTCTAGTTGGAAAAACTCTATAAATCAACAACGGTGCAAGGTCATAAAAGAGGATCAGGTCAAAACATAACAAAAGGCGTCACTTTTTTACATTATATGATGTCCACGTATTCCGCAAGCTAGCTGGGGGAAGGGGGGGGGTCAAGTCCTGCCTGATGAAAGCCACTCACTTAAACAAAACAAAAAACATTTCAAGCTGTTTTCAGGCTTCTCCTTTATTTTCGGCAAAATGAGAATGGGGACAGAAAGTTGCCTGAAGGGTGTTTTATAAGGGGTGGTGAGGAGTTTCAAAATAATGTTGAGCGGCCGAGCCACTGAGTTGGCTTTGAGTTCATGTCACTGCCATGGCTAAAAAAGTACACGAGTGACAAGATTTGGACGGCTGCAGACGGAAAAAGTGACCCCTTTTGCAGGCTTGAAATTTTTGTCATGTTGGCACTGCCAACTACGTTGTTTTCGTTGAGAATGAGGGATTCAGTTTTAAACTTCGGATTATTCAATCCTCAAGAGACAGTTAAACTCACTTGGTACTTATTTTGCTTCATCAGTCATAATTACCACCTTGAAAAGGCAATGAGGTAACATTATTAGTCAGAAAAATTACTAGGAAACTTTGATGGCACAAACGTTAATTACAAAGTTAATGTTAGTAACGAGATCTAGAACAAAGAGTTGAATGGTAAACCTCTGATATGTAACTGATCTGAGAACAATTCAGATGATACAGATTGGTACATACACATGAATTCATGACAATCAAAGAAACTAAATTGATTAATTTTAAAGGAGAAGAAAACAGAGGAGACATGCGAATACAACTACTCACACCCAGCCAAAATTTCTTTGGAGACTAGAATATAGCATGGGAGATTTGCTAAGGAATGCATTTCACTTGTCCTCTTTTATCAAATGGATGGATTTGCCAGGGAATAGTCTAACTGGAATTCACATTGCCTGATTTCCTCTAATCTTTTATTTTATTGCCAGAAAACTAAATTACGTTTCGTGTTAAGGGCTTTTTTTTCAATCTGTGGAACGCGATGGTAGCAGTTCGGGCTGGTTCAACCGGCCTAACCGCGGCCTCAACCCACCTCGGAAGAGCGGTCCAAGTGTTCCACTAGAACACATGGAACGCACCAGTGGAACGGGATAAAAATTTGAAGCATTCCGTGGCGATCCACTGCGGTTTGTATAAAAAAAAAGCCCTTTAAACGTTTCAGTGAGATTCCCTAGAATTTAACAGAACATATATGCAAACTTTCAAGACAGAGTATTGCTAATTTTTCTGTAAAAAAATAAATCACGAGAGGAAATTAGGCTAAGTCTGATAAAGTTACTCTGATTCCGCTTAAACAAGCCCACTCAGAGGAGGTTTATTAAACTCTACTGATACAAATTTGAGGAAAATGAGAAATTGAATCTAAAAAAATTATTTTCAGCACACACAAACCTGACAAATATAGCTGGATGAAGAGTTTAAGCGTATTCTGATTGGGTGCGAGTAAATTAACCGCTCCTTTAGGGAAAACAAACAAAACAAAACTGCCACCAAATAACTCCAATAGAATGTGAAACTACAAAAATGCGTTTCTCGGTTGCAGTGTTTCAAAATCCCCGCTCCTTCTTAATTTTTTATAAGGAGAATGAATCAACATCATGGCTTAAAATTTTCTTACACACAGAAAAAAAATCCCCAAAGATTTCAAGAAATGATGTTGAGTGGTTTTCTACTTAGAAAATTAAGTAGGGCCAGAAGTCTGCAGTGCTGCGAACCAAGAAACGCATTTCAACAGTTTCATCGTTGAAATTGTTTCAAGACAAAAAAGACATTGAAAGGAAAACTTATCTAATACAGTGCTTAAAGTTATCCAGAGGGCACCAATAAGTAATTAGTAGAAAATCTGAAAAATCAAACAATGGTATGAACCTTCATATACAAGAGTCTTCTCACTCGTACAAAATTTATTTAGTATTATTTAACTTCCGATTTCGAAGTTCAGATGAGACCAAGTGTCTTCGGATTTCATTCCTACTGGTGATTTAGCCAGTAGGGGTTAAAAATTTGACTAGTTTTTGGGCAATCTTAAGTGCAAGTTTTTGAAGAGATGCATCAAGGTGCCCTACCAGCAGCTTCTGGCATTTAAAACATTAAATATTACACCCAGGATAGCTTCTTTGGATTTGAAAGACTTCTAAATAGTTTTATAGTAAGTGAAGAATAAAAAATTTTCTATTCCTTTTCAACTGAACAATCTGCACAGGTTAAGATTGGGGGAAAGAGATATCAGGGGCGCACTTTTCTAGATTCACATCAATGTTTTTAAACAGTTGATAACATGAGAGAAGAAACTCTAGAATTGCATAATAACAATTCAAGTGACTTTCGTCTTTTCTCATTAAGTTGTGCATGCAGATGAAACCAAAAACTATCTGAAAATCCTTCTGAATACAGAATTTTTTTTGATCTTTGAAAAAAAAAACCTGATTTGCATACAATGACATTAAAAGATTAAAAGAAGAAAAAAAAAATAAGAAAAAAGAAAAAAAAATCACCAAACAATAAAATAAAAAATAGAAAAACTAAAATATACAAGTCTAATGATTACATCATGTAGCACTGCAGAAAAAGATCAGAAATTTGGAAACCATACTTTTTCACTGATTCATTTTGAACTGAAGACACATTTGACCGAAGCTTGCCATTTTTAATGGTCAAATCAGAGAGCCTCCTGGAAAATCGGTGATTTATCAATCTCACACTTATGCGGGAATATTAAAAAACCATGCATTAGCCCTGCAGAGATATAGCATCTTAATGTTGGAGTCTTAGAGCAGAATTCTCTACTAGAAAACTAGGGTCATAATCTATTTGTGAAGAGTCAATTTTCTCAAAGAACTTGTTTTCTTTCAACAAGTCGTTGATTCAAGATGAAACGAAAAAATCATAGCATAGAGAAGCATTACTGCTACCAATTGTAAGTAAAAAGCACTAACAAGAACGATAAAATAATTTTGAAAAATAAAAGAGAAAGAAAAAAGTTGTACAGCTATACAATATTGTCAAAACGGAAAACAACTATTTGATGACTGATAACGAGCAGAATAAACATTAAACATCAAAATAGAAATTGTTTACATTACAACAATCTTTGGCTCAATTTTACTGACTGCACTTGGACTAATTTAATGACGGTAAAATGAAGTTCAGTCAGATATAGTTAATAAAAAGTTACCGACATTAAATAGCGTATCAATAGCTTCAGTGAAGAAATTTCTGATAGGTACGAAAAAAAATGAATTTTTAGTCCAGGATAGGAGTAGGTAAGAAGATACACAAATTCTTAACCTGCTTACTTGCACTATTTGGTTCACAATTTCTTCATTTGGATACTTGACTGATTGATTCGGAAGAACTATGTAGTTATCTAAGTTCATGTTTTTGTCCAATCGTAATAAGCCTTGGAGTAGTGCCGATTTGAGCTCTGTATTTTTCTTCGAGTTTACAGTTATTGGGGTGCATACATCATTTTACACTATAGCCATTAGGGCTCGAGTATACATATGTCACAGAAACTTCATGAGAGAGTTTCCGGGACTTATTTAATTAATATCTTGGAACAAAGTTGTTGCAACGTACCTAAAATTTTAAATATGGAATCTTTCAAGATTCAAGACTTTTTGTGGAAAACCAAATTACTCCTTTCCCCAATTATCTAGTCAGTCATCAGCAGTCTTAGAAAATCTATCATATAAGAGCTCGGGTAAAGGGAAGAGCTCCTTGGCGAAGCATCGACATGCGTCGCATCAAAGAAGTATGAAAAAATGCAGAGATAGACAGAGAGAAAATGTGGAGAGTGGCGCTGAAAAAGGCACAAAAGAAGAGCATAAATGATACTTGGGGACACCCATGTCACGAAGTTAACTCTTCAAGGAGCTCTTCCATTGACCGTTTCTCGGTTTTAAACTTCTGCATGTACGATCTCGGGATGGTCCAATCAAGCAAGATTTCTATGTTCTTCTTCAAAATTTCCATCTCATTCAAACTATCATCTACGATGGGTTTCCTACCAGAATTTTTAATTGATTCACACAACACTTCGTCAATCAAACGTTTCCCAAAGCCAAGGGCAGACAACCGCTCAGGTGTGGAAATTCTTTTCAATAATACTGCCAACAACAGGCGCATCCTTGTGATGGGCATGCTGTTGGTCGTCGGCTGCAAGAGCGGAGCGGTGTAAAATTTTCGCTCAGATGCAGACTCAGGGCAACAGTCAGATTCGTGTTTGATGAGCTGACTTTTAGCTTTAAAAAATGTCTTGCACGTGACACAATAGTACGGACAATCTGTTTTATGGATACTTTTCATATGCTTTTTAAGATGAGGCAGTTGGAAAAATGCCACATTTTCACAAATCAAACATTTGAAAGGACGCTCACCGGTGTGTTTCCTGACATGCATATTAAGAACTGTAGAGTGACCAAATGTCTTATGACAGAACTGGCATTCGTAGGGTTTTTCACCGGTGTGTTTACGTTCGTGGACCTTCAGTTGAGATTTCTGAATGAATGTGGCTGGACAATGCTGACACTTGAAGGGTTTCTCCTTTCGATGAGTTTGCAGATGCTGCAGAATGTGACCTTTGAATTGCTGATTGCAGATCTTGCACTTGAAAGCCTTTACATTGTAGTGAAGGCTGGTGATGTGTTTTTGGAGACCATCAGCACGTAAAAAGGCTTTCCCACATATGTTGCAGACATAATCCAATACACCCAAGTGCCTTTTACAATGCAGTGCCAATGTAATACGGGCAGCAAATTTGGCTCCACAATCATCGCACTCGTACGGTCTTGCTTGGGAATGTTTACGCATATGCTGGATGACTTGACTACCTCGAGCAAATCGCTGTTTGCAGAAACAGCATCTGAAATGCAAAGCAAATTAACTTTAGACAAATGGTATAAAGCCATCTATTGAGAGTAATTAACTTTCAATCTAACAGACAACATGAACTCAGTCCTATTTAACCGTTACTTTTTCTAAGCAACAGCTACATGAATTGGCTGCCATGCCATTGGCAATTACTATCAGTTGATGAGTATGAGAGATGGCTCTTCATGGAAAAAATCTGGTGGAAACTACTAAAGCTCAACTTTAGATTCTTTTATTTTGGTTGAAAGATTTGGGACTTGAAAACTGAGATGTGTTGGCAAAATGTTATACAAACTTTCAGTGACTAAATATGCGAGGGACGTTCTGATGCTGCATTGCAGTGAATATCAGATATAGCACTCATTGCCTTCGCTGACAGATATTAAGCAAAAATGTTTATCATTTCTTAGTTTTCAACACTTTAGAGCAAAGATGCTATAGGGTGCTACTCAGTGGCGAGGCATAAAAGATCAATTATTGATATTCCTCCATTTGAGTCTATGGTAAAGAATCGATTATTATGTTCGTTGCGAACATCCTCTTTACCAATCCTTTTTCATAGGTTTGAACGGCAGATCAATTGATACAGCGCAAAACACGCCACGCCACTGGTGCTGCTGACTTTGAATGTAGCAAAGACTCATGAGAATCTCGATGAACGGATACAGATTAAGTAACCTGAGCGACAAATGAGTGCGATACACCAAAATCAACTTTTTGGTGACTGCATTAGGTGCTCACAACTGATGATAATCCTTAGTACTATGGGACCAGAAACACAACAACAACAGGTGAAAATTGGATTGGCAAATGATACATCTCTTTGTCTGCTCTAGAGAACATTTTCGAGAATTATTTTATAATTCTTGACTAAACCGTTACATTATTTCTGACTTAAGTAAGAGTAAGAATATGAAGTGTGGACAGAACAGACAGTGCCAACATTTTTTAAAACTAAAAGAAAATGAGTAAATGAGGCCCTCAATTTTTTTTTTTTTTTTTTTTTTTTTTTTTTTTTTTTTTTTTTTTTTTGTCTGTGCTTAGAAAAACTGGTCGAAGTAAAACCCGCTAATAACAATAATAACAAGAGGAAGAAGAAGATAAAAAGGTTAAAAAAAAAATTAAAACAAAGTTTTTGGAAACCCATCTAGTAGATCCTGAAGAAAGTGTACTTTAAGGTAAAAAAACGTTGTTCAGAGAAAAACCTGTTTAAAGTTCTGAACTAACAGAAAGATTGCATCACTCTATGCATCACAAAACACCGTACAACTGATTGAATTTTTTTTTCTTTTTTTCTTTTCAAAATAGCCATTGGCTAATCCCATTCTGTTCCTATTTGTCTGCTTTCTCCCATTTCCTTACTTCATACACTCCTTATCCTCGTACCTCAGTAGTCTTCCCTCCCCCAGTTGGGTTATAATAATAAAAAGATTTTGAAAAACTTGATCTTCAATTAAAGCTAAGGATATGTGGGATTTGATTAGGATTGAAAATTAGGAAAACAATTTTTTTTTTGGAAAAAATTAATTAGGTAATAAGAAGCACTTAAATAAACTTACTTGTGAGGTTTCTCCCCTGTGTGAACGCGTATGTGGAGCTTGAGCCTATCTTTCATTGGAAATACTCTCTCGCAGTATGGGCAAGGGAATTTTTTGGCTTCTCCAATTTGATGAACACAAAGCTGATGATTGATCAAAGTGCTTTTTTGACCGAATCGTTTTGGACATAAATTACAGGCAAAAGGTCGCTCCCCGCTATGGATTCTCAGGTGTTTCTTCAAGTAGTACGAGACACTAAATCTTTTCGAACACTTGGGACACTGATGCGCTAAGTCCTTTTTAGCTGCAACCATCTTTTTCTTCTTTGTGCGAGCTGCTTCTGTGTTTTGTTCTTTCTCCCCTTCCTTTGGGATTTGACTTGTTTCTCTGTTCGTTTTCATGATGATTAGAAGAGCATCAAAAACTCAGGATGCAAAACGGACAATGAATAATAATAAAAAAAACAGAACAAGTAGAATTACTACTTCCAAAAGTGACTTGAATTTTCAAAATTCATTTTGACTAAATTAGACACTTTAGACTAAAGAAAAACTTTGGTTTTACACTAGCTTCAAACTAGAAGGATTGATAGCGTTGTTAATGACGCTTCACTCATTGACTAACTACGTTGAATGACTTAACACTAAAAGAAGAATTAGATGCAATTAATCTAAATTTACAAAGAAAAGAATATTTATAGTGCAAAAAAAAATTTCAGCCAATTTTGAGGGTAAGAAAGTTAACTATTGGTTTAACCGAGAAGCACAAATATGAAATGGCACTAATATTCAGACTGAATTTATCCTATAGAGATTGTATGGCCATATTTCAAAGTTTGCAAACGCAAAAACATATGAAAGTTTGGTAACTGAAAGTAGTAACAAAACACCACACTATTTTCTGGTAATTATTCTTCCCCAAAAGTTTTAGGAGTTATGACAAGTAGTCTATTGCGACTAGCTGAGGTAACATGAAACTACGGTAGATATGACAGAGAAAGAGAAGATTCTGTCCAGAATGGATTCGTAATGACAGGCCTTTAGTTGGGTAGAACACAATCTTTGACATTGGCAAGATGGTGGGAGATCAGATGTAACTGGCACCAAGTAGTTTACATTTTCTTTACAATGGAGAAGACTAGAGAAATTTCGGTGGGTAGATCTGAGAGCATCTGAAAGAAAGAAAAAAAAAATTAGGTGAAAGTTAACAAGATAATTGTTGGTAGAAATTATGTTATTGATGATGAAAATTATTCATTTTTCTTGCAAAAATAGTTAGGTACTGAAAGTTGACAGATGTCACTGGGGTAATTCAATTCTACAATGCTCACTTTGTAACTGCTTAAATTTTAAAAATCCGGTTAATTACCTAGGTCTGCCAGCAGTCCCTTGATCAATGAAATGTTTTGTTTTTCTGATGGACAAGACTAGACTACGGAAAAACAGAACTTTTGATGGGTCGGCTGCATGATCAATTGATAGGGATCCCAGGCTGTAGCCTTTCAATGGATTGAGTAATCGACTAGTTGTCCGCCATCGAAAGATGCCTTCAGCTAGCCGATTATTTAGTCCTACGGAGGACTTGAGCCGGAAATCCCGGTCAACCAAGGGACATGGCTGACCAATCATATCCCTAAATTTTCCCTCAGTCTCCTCCTGTCCATCAGACAAACGCAGAATTTCAATTATGGACCAGCCGATGTCATGAACTTTACCATTAGAAAAGTCATGGTGTAAGGCTATTTGCAAATAACATACCCCCTTAACTGTTCCTGAAGTTGAAAACAGTCATCTTTCCTTGTAGAATTGCAAATCACTGCTGGTGTTTTATTTCTTGTTTGAGACAATTGACCAAAAGTTTTTTTCTTTAAATGTACTGTGAATTCTTATCACTTGTTCAAAAAAACTCACAGAAAATTTCAAGTAGATATTTCAGCTAATTTCTTCCTCTTAAAAAAGAAGTAAAAAATAATTGGGGATTTTGAAACAATGCAATGGAGAGAAACATTAAGCAATATCAATGATAACTATTAATTAAAAAAGTATGGAGAGATATCATTAATAGAAAATGCAATGAAAATGAGCTAGTTTCACTTAGCAGATATGTCCAGCAACATGTTCATTATCCCGCAGTTTGTAATAGAAATCCTAACAGAAAGTACAAAATGCTAAACTATTGGAAATTGATGAAAACATAAGATGTCATAGAAAGAGAGGTGGAAGCTTCCGTGTAAAAAACCTTACGCTGCACTGGTGCATTGGACTCCTTAGTTCAACACACAAAATACATTTATACCTTTTGAGGACATGCTTAGAGTTTTTTTTTAATAATGCATGGGAGGAAATGGCATGGTTATATTCAAAATACTGCACTTTTTCTGAGCATAGCAGCATAATTATGGATAAAGATTGGCTAAGAGATACTGATACTCTACATAGATGGTGTAAGTCCACGACCACGTATCTCGATTTGCGACGTCGCAGACTACTCAACGGAAAGTCTTTGTAACTGCCCTGATTTTTCTTCTCTGTCCAAAGAAAATTCTGCAAGAACTTTAAGAAATGATGTCAGTTTGTTCTCTTTTAAAAAAATAATACAGAGGCAGAGATTTTCAAACACCGTAAACAAGATGAGTGGTTGAGGACTTACGCCATAGTTATAGTGAAAAGATGCTACGAGCGATAACAGGCTGAAATTTATTAATGGGCTTTTGGTATCATAGGTTCTGTCACAATATTCAAATAACACGAGGTTTTACTCCTATGAAAATTTATGGTGAGAAATTAAATGCTCAAAACTCAAATCATAAACATTCACATTCTCCCAGGTCTAAAAAATTTGAGGTTAGGGTTTAGGTACTTATCAAATTGATAGTTTGCGACCATTATAAAGGACGCTCAATGTTAAGCAGCGATACATTGGCATTATGAGGAGAAAATATTTTATCAATATGCTGTGAGAATGCAAAATACATAACTTAAAGGAGAAATGGCAAAGTGTTTGATTAATATGATTGATACCTGCTCGTAGGATGCCATGATAACTTCCACAGACCAAGACCACTTGAAAGTAAAATTGTGGTGAAAAAACTGATGCTGAAAAGTCCAATCAGTTTTTAGGATTGGAGTAAGGTAAGAGGAGAGGCGAGAAATTATGAATACCACAAAATATACCCAAAAATAGAAACATTGCTGAATCCTGAAAAAGATGGCATTATCATAAACAGCACTGATTCCCTGTTCTTATCATGATCGAAATTCAGGATTACAGGCCTATAATAGACTTCGTATGAAAACTGCTCGGATGCGGTCAAAGTATAGAGAGCAAGAACTATGTAGATAATGGATAGATAATATTGACTCACCAGATAAATGGTAATTCTTTCCTTATCATGACACCACCAAGCCTTTAGCAGTAACGCCTCAGGCTCCGGTCGAAGTCGAGGTTTATCAACTATTATCAAATTTCATTTGTTGACGAATCATCCTCCTCCAGATGGCGGCCCTTGTTGCCAAAGCGAACCTGATCCTGAGCTTGCCCCTTATAATCATTTTAAAAAAATGCATCCTCCCACTGAAAAATTTACTTAAAGAGTGATCTTGCTCTAAAAAAAAAATTTACTACGGATGAATGTAGTTTCGTGAATTCACGGGGAGGAAAGGGAATTAGCAAAACTAATTATAATGATAATTCTCCCAATTTGGCATTGCGGAGCTAAATCTCATGGTTGTCAGATGTCTCTACTCTCCTTTCTTCCAGCTTGTACTCTATGCTTCCAGCTCATCGAGTGATAACGTTCCCTCTCGAACTTTGAAAATTAATGGGGGTTTTTAGGTAAATTTTTGTCTTAATTTTCATTAAATAAAAATACCATTTGCACTCGGAATACCTTCGAATCATGTAAGCTTCGGAAGGATTAATTTACTATTTGCAAACCATGCGAATTTTATGGACATTATTGAGTTGTGACCTTTCCGTCGTTTGAGGGCGCCACTACCGAAATAAATACCGAATAATGGGAGCAACCTAACCTAACTTCACTTTGCTTTGATTTTTCTACTTTGCTATTGTTTTTTTGCCATTTGAGCATATGTTTTCGGTGTTTTTGTTTCAAGTTCAAGTTATCTCGGGCTGCCGTTAGTTCCGTTCTCTCTCTGGCCCCTGGCCCATATGTGGGTCATTTTTTGGTTTTTTCAAAAGTTCTGGAAATTTAAAGTAATATCTCTGATCCTCAACAAAAATTTAAAGGCAACATTTCCGAAGGATCTTCCAACTGTGGAACTCTCTAGCTGTCATCGGTTACTGGATAAGGACAACATATTTTTTCCTCGTCTTAATCTACTAAGTTCTCCAATTTGGAGGAACCCAACTCAAACAAGCAATTTGCCTTGAGAAACAATATGCGTTTTCACTTCGCATTTCAGACTCTGAAGAGCTACCGTCAGATCACCAAGTCCAGGAGCTGTTGCTCCTCAAAAGAGGGAAGAAACACTTATTGAAATTTGTAGTGACACGAGGACACCATCCTCTCATTACGTACCTCTGTTAAACTTTTATCATATGTGACTTCCACCGGTATTAGCCCACAATGAATTTCAGTGGCACAGTCCGTTTGAACACCTTTGGTGTTTGTGTCATTATTGCCACCCTCATTTTGTTTTATATTTACATATTTAGTTCAAATTCCCTTAATCGTTCAGAAAAGAAGAATGTAGTCAACCTTCGAAAACTGCTCATCACTGCAATTGAGGTAGCAGAAAAAGGTGGTAAGCAAGTGAAACTAGTTCGAGAAGAGATGACTTTAAATAAACACAGCAAAGGGAAAACGAAAGAAGGAGCTGAAATGTTGGTAACCAATGCAGATTCATCATCACATTGCATCATGTTCTTCGGTCTAACTCACACGTTTCCTCACTTGAAAGTAAGTCAACAATTACAATTTTTTCTCATACTTTAAATATGGCGGTCTCCATAATGACTGCCTCTCGTTTTCAAAAGTCATTGCCTTTCTTTCTCCTTCTATGATCTTATGAACCATTGAAATGTTCAACAAGAAAAATGTACCAATTCCTAAGGACTACCCCTCCCCCCCCCAAAAAAAATTAAAATTTGCCACCCTTGGCTACATTCTTTAAAGCACCCCCCAAATCTAACCAGAGTCCGACTTTTTCCTAATTTTCTGGGTGGGGTCACCAAGATCAAAGGCTCCCTCTAATGCGGAGGGGAGGAAAGTTTTACATAAGATGGGCTTTGCGAAATTTTTTATGAAAGGCTGGAAAAAGTCGTCTAACGATTGGGGGCCTCTGTAGGGTTCTTTTGCTTATAGTTCTGGGGATGATTTCCCCCTCGCTCCTCCTCTCTTGCACCAGTTTGCCCCTGAGTCTGTTCGTAGCTTCAGTGTAACAGAGCTTTTGTCGGCTAATTTAGCAGTTGTTCACTTACCATTTGCTGACAGCTGTTGAGCCACCATGAAACAGCAATTAAAGGTGATGATGCTAGCATGCGCAGCTATGTAAATTGGTCGATCAAGCATGATGGCTGAAAGTAAACGAATGCTAACTCATCTGAGATGTGTTCTAGGTATGTTCCAATAATGGATTATCAATTGTGACAGTTCTATCCTGTAGGTGCATTTTCAGCTTAATCATCCTCTCTCCCAGTATTTTTCATTTTCCTTAATATCGATTAAACATAATTGGGCCTGAATTCTTGTAATAGAAGTTAATTGCATCCATTTGCTCTTCTAATTTTAGGTAGTGTCTGAAGAACAAGAAAGTTCAAAACTCTGCGACAACACTCAACCTGTGCTTGATTTGGATCCCGCTTCCAAAGAAGGGTTATCAAGGCTTGTTGACTCAGAAGTGTTCACCGAAGATTTGATGGTGTGGATTGATCCATTAGATGCCACCCAAGAGTACACAGGTACTTTATATTTTTTTTTCCTTAAATATTGTTTAATATTTTGTAATGAAATATTTTTTAATATATTCTTAATTTAATTGGTTGACATGTGTTTAAGGAACTTACCTAGTTAGTCAGAATATTTGCATACTAAAACCGATGAAACGATGGTGTTCCATGTTTGAGATTTCGAGAAAAATTTGTTTGATGTTAAAGAAAGCAGGTTGGAGCTTTTGATACAAATGATTTTTTTACGGTAACTTGTCAGTCCAGGCATGCTTTATGCCTTTATCTCAAAAGAACCTCGTTTACTCAGTATCTTTAGAGTTGAGCTTAGCTGGTGGATCAGCAGTTAGATGAGATTAGCCCTCAAGGGCTATTTGAATTAAAGCCCCCCCCCCCCCAAAAAAAGGAAGTTGGTATCGGAATAACTTGTGATTTGTTTGTTTCAGAAAATCTGCCGCAGTATGTCACAACAATGGTTTGCGTTGTATTCAGAGGGAAACCGATAATTGGCGTAATCCATAAACCATTAGAGAAAGAACCTGTCACTTATTGGGCTTGGCTGGAACATGGTAGATCAACAAGTCTCACAGGCCTTTTAGCCACCAGGAAGGTACATGTCTTACCGATAGGATTTTTCTGTTAATCGTTCAAGATATTTCCTCTTTTTTTTTCTTATTCTAGATTTAATGTAGCTTCATTTATGCAACCACTGAGCATTTGATTAAGAGGCCTTCATTTCATTTAGATTTAGATGACAAAAATCTAAAAATGAACATCCTTGATTGTGATGCTGTAAATCGCTGTTTTATTTTTTAGAAAGAAAATTATTTTTCATAATTTTTCTTAATTTTCATAAAGAGAATTTTCTTCATTCATGTAAACTGTTTTCAGACAATTTTGAGGAAATATTTTGTTAAGTTTGAAAAAAGGAACATAATTGATTTGTTAATAGATATAACTTTTCCTTATTCATTTTACTGCAGACTTTTCTTTTCTTTTAAGTACAATTTTTTAAAAGAATGAAAGTCTACAGTAACATTGGTAAGAAAAAGTTTTATCCTCAACAATTCAATGAGCACCATCAAATTCAAACAAATCTTAATAATTGAAGATTTTGAAATGTTAACTATTGAGATGCACATTCTTGGACTTCAGCAATCAATATGTTGTTGAAGACCACTTGAATTCTAAAATATGTGAAGACGGTAACTGTCTTCAATTGAATATTTTTTTTCTCTTTTTTTTAAACGATGGGCGCTTGAACAACCTATGAGATTGCACAGTACCAAGCATGCACTAGCTTATGTGCTCCACTTAGGTGCACATATCCCTTTAAGCATTGGATTTTTATTGGAGCAGAATATTAGATTAAAAACAACTAAATTTCGAGTTTCAAAATTATTTTAAGTAAAGTTGATTACTTCAGATTGACCCATCTCATTCCTCTCTCTCTGTTCCTCAGAGTCCAGAATCAAAATCAACTGTGATAATCTCTCGCTCTCATGCCGGGAAGGGAGTTCAAATTGCTGAAAGTGCTTTTGGCAAAGAAACTAAGATCATTGAAGCAGGGGGCTCTGGTAAGTTGTTCTGTTTGTGTGTATGAATTTTTCAATCCCCAATCTAATATTCTTTTGGTATTGATGTATTAGATTCAAAATAGGTCTAGACATTGAGATTTTAAATGTGTCACCGAGAGATCTGAGTTTGTTTTAGCATTTTCGGAAAAAATCAATTCTTTTAAGACTAATTTTTGAGTGAAAGTTTCGAGTTGAAAATGAAAGAAACAATTTATGCAATGTATTTGTCAAAGTTTCCATAGTATTGAAAAAAATTATTTATTTTTTTTTACTTTTATATAATAATCCACCATATCTGTATAGAGGAAAACTGGAATGAGAAGTTTTTTGCCGCCATTTTAGAATTGAATCAATAATATGAACCGAGCTTAACAGAGGTGCACCAAGTCGCATTAAGTTTGAAGTGAAAAAAAGAGGTTTCAAGTTATTACCTATGTGAAACTCATTGTTAAGGACTACCTCTAACGACTACCTATTTCACGATCAAAATTTCTTTCCCAGACTTCTAATTTTTGACAGTAGACGATTTACATTTTTTTGTATTCATAACGACTCTAAACTCTCTTTTTTTCTTCAAAATGCAACTTGGTGCATTTCAATTAAACTCAGTCGGTACGCAAGCAAAAAATAAAAAAAAAATCCTACGACGTGGCATTTTTTCCTTCAAATGAGAATGCTTCTCCTTTTCAGAACAGCTCATTTTAGCAAGCTCCAAAAACTCTGATAAACATCAGTCAAGGTCCTTTGATGATTATTCCTCTGTAATGGAACCTTTTCAACAGCTTACTGAAAATTCGTCGGACTTTTAATCCAATTTTTCACGTAACTACCAAACAGTTTTGTCATTCATTTTTTCTACTCTTGCAGGTTACAAATCTCTTGCTGTAGTCAGTGGAAATGCATCTCTCTACATGCATTTAACCCAGATCAAGAAATGGGACATTTGTGCCCCAGATGCTATTCTTCAATCTGTTGGAGGCAGGCTGTCTACGTTAGAGGATGATGAAATCGACTATTCATCGGAGCAAGAGAAAGTGAATGAGCATGGTGTAGTCGCTAGTTACAAAGATCATGACTATTACATAAAAAAACTTAGTGCTGTAAAAGACTCATGGTCCAAGTCAAGCTAAACTCTCAAGACTTGATAATGATGATTCAGTCACAAGTTCCTTTGTTTTAAGTTGAATTATGTGTATATAGATTAGTTTAAATTTTTTAACGTGAAATATACTCGGAAACTTCTTGTTTTACTTTTAAATCGCTTCACTCTGCTTTTTAAGTCCTCCGACTCATGGTTTTTTTCAGCTGTGCAATTGTAAAGTGTTGGCCTTTACAATTGGTTTACATGGAAAATAGCTATTCGGCTAAACGACTATTCTGTCATGCTAAGGAAGAATGATGTATGAAAATTCGAGAGTTGCCATATTTCCTCCGATAAATTGTTTATTTTTGAGGAGAGTTATAAATATTTTCTCTTGACATTTTCAGATAAATTAGATCTAAAATTGCAAGTCAAATTCTCTAAAAATTGAAAGAAAGTATTCACAGATGTCCCTAGAAATTTGTAATTTAACAAAGGAAATTGAGCAACGTCTGATGGCTCACACAGCGTTCTTCCTCAGCATGGCTCTTCTGGTAATTATCGTTCAATCATTACTACTTTTCAATGGATCAATTTCAATAACATACCAAAAATGGTTTACTGATATAGATTGCATACAAAGATGTTTTAGATAGTTGTGAAAAGAAATTAAAACTTGACATTTTTTTTTTCAATTTTTATTGAAACACAGATTTACCAGGCTCTTCAATGAATTCATGAAAAAAATATCTTAAAACCAAAATATCTTGAAACACTCTTCAGAGAAATCTCTTGATAAGAGCATAAAATTAACACAATCTGCTGGGTGCACGTTAAAAGTTGTTTTTTCTTAAAATTATCTTGCGTCTTCATTTACCTTAAATAAAATACTGAATGAACAACTAACAACAAAGTAATGTTAAAACATATCATAATTGTTTGGCGATAAATAAACAAAGAATTCTTAACAGCTTGGGAATGACTCAATGATTGTTTTTCATAGACCGTAAAAGGTGATTCTTCTGAAAATGCCTAGCGTTAAAAGTTAAAGTAGCCTTAAATGGTGAGGTAAATCTGGTAGCCCTTCAGTTACACTGGTGGGACAGAGCTCTAATATCTTAGAGATCTAAAAGCTTGGCTTTCCGATTATTCACAATTTACAGAGAGCTTAAAACCTATGTACACAGTTAAGACGGTTCAACATAGAGCTGTCACCAGCAGGAATCACATTTCATTTCATTAAGAGGTCACAGGTTTTTCCCTATGATTTTGCAACAAATTCCTCACCCTTCTTGATGTTCTTCTGCAATTCTGGTATGGCGGTTTCCAGGAGTTTCTTCTCAAAATCTGAGAGCGTTCCTAATCCCAAGTTCTTCTCAACTCCATTTTTCTGTAAACAAAATTGAAAAAATATTAATTTTACGAGTGAAATTTCCTGAAAAAATGACGTTCGCTTCAAGTTACATTATAGATTTAGAGACAGTTAGTACACACTGATCATGATCACGATTTGATCAGTGGAAAATTGTGTTCATTTCGTTATTCGTACTCCAGTAAAAAACTGCAACACATGACAGCAGCCTTTTTCGATTTTGCAAGGAGTTATGAGCCACTTTCTACAAGAAATAGCTCTTCTTTATGCCCTAGTTTAAGTTTACGACAGACTAATGCAACCAAATATTGTGAGATGCTGCTACCGCGTCGTCCGTTGGTCAGAGTCTGAATTCATTTTAATTTTTCAAGATTGTTGGTTGTTCCTGCATTTTATTTCTTAATATTTTACTTGGTAGAGAATAACATCGAGCTCTATTATATACTTACACCAAGGATAATTGGTGACGAGAAGTACTTGACGCCTGGAACAACATCAGATTCAATGTAGGAAATTTCTTGGACATTGGACTCTCCATGTAAAGCCTTCGCTAAGGAGAATGTAAACTTGGCACCAGCGTAGGCCATTGAAAGTGTGGCTGAACCAGCACCAGCCTTGGCTTTCACTACTTCAGTTCCAGCTTCCTAGAAGCAAAGAGTGGTACAAACATTTGAAATCAGATGGAAAATGTGAAGCGAGAAGGAGCGGAATAAAGAGCGCCTTTGGATACAGTTGTTCTTATATTTTGCACCTACGTTCAGAGTGGACTAACAAAGCATTTAATTTGGGTTGATTTAGAGGTATTGGAGCAAGGAATTTTGAAGTTGGTTTTAAACAAATTACATATTTCTTGTCTCTTTAGACAATACTAATACTTTATACTGCTCATTTTTCCAAATTGGTTTGTTTACATTCTCATTGATTCAATTATTATACTTCAATGCCTAGTGCAATAATGCAGAAAATCTATTTGAACCGAAATAGATCTATTACTGTCACTGCCCCTTTCAACAGAGAGCTGAACTAAAAGATAGAGCCTAACCCTTAAAAGGTAGTGATTCATTTCCAAGGGCTGATACTAAAAAAAAAAAAAAAAAAAAAAAAAAAAAAAAAAAAAAAATAAAAAAAAATTGAATTTTTACCTCTAAAACTTTATTTTCATTTCTTAAGCACATTAGACTCATTTTGAATTCTAATTTTTCCACAACTGGAGAAGTTGAAGGACTGCACAAGGATTGTTGATTATAAATGAAAAAGTTGGAAAAATAAAAATCAAACCAAACATGAAATTTTATTGAGTACTTACTTGGATGCGGACAGTAAGTTTATCTAACTCCGGCTGAGGGAAACTGACTGAGGGTTTCGCTTGAGAGATGACTGGAATAATAGTGACACCTGAGTGACCACCAATAACAGGTACATGTGTGGTTGCTGGATCAAGACCCTGATTGACAAAGTAAAAAAAGAATCATCAATTAAATTACTCCTCTGAGAATGTCATCATCAATTAAAAAGAGGGATGAACTGAGTAATGTTTCATCTAAGTAGTCAAGAGTCAGAGCTCAACAAGTGAAATAAACTTTCACATTGGCAGCAAGACAAGGGCTAATTTAGAAAAAAAAGTCCCATGATAGCTCCTGCAAATCTTGCATAGAAAATGATTCACACGACAGAAGTTTGATTATCAATTCCTGAGCAAGATATTGGCAAGTATTTTTAACATGGATCAAATGAAAGTTAGATGACTTCATTTATATTTTTGCCTTCTAACCAATGTTAAATTTAAACACTTGTATCAAGTTCAGGAGTTGATTTTTGGACTTTCGGTTGTGTGATTCATTTTTCTAGTTAAATTTTTGTAAGGAAACATGTTGCATAGTGCTTTAATTCATATTTTGTCTAGAGGCCCATTAATTAAAATCTTTCATAGAAATGAACTTCTACCGGTTGGATGGGTAATTTGCACTAATATAAAATGCTTTAGAGGATAAGAAACTTATAGAGAACCTTTAGCATACGGCTTTTTTTCTTAAATTTTTCCAGCAACAAAATATTATGAAGTTAAAACTGTACCCACAGAAACTTTTGATAACTGTTTCCACTAACACTTGTTAGAAACATGAGGTCCCAAATGTAATGGGCTGTTTAGGAGATGACAAAATAATTGTCGACAACACAGAATTTTGTTTTCATTTAAAATTTACTTGTTTCTCTGACTGGTAACTTTTAGCAATCCTGATTATTGGAAAATTTCTTCAACCTAAACATTTTTAAGAGCAAATTGACAGAAGTGAGATCAAAAATATTTTTGGCATACCTTAGCTTCAGCAATGAAAGTGTTAGCCCTCACAATATCGAGTGTGGTCACACCAAACAACCTCTTGGGGTCATATACTCCTAATTTCTTCAAAACCTCTGCGGCAATAGGAACAGTGCTGTTAACCTAAAAATAGAAGGTAAAATGTGAGTGTTGAATGAAAATTTACAAATGAAAGAATGCATAAAAAAACATGCAACTAACAAAATAACAGAGGAACAATAATGTATATAATGTTCGTGAAAATTACATTTTATACTAAAAAGCTACTCCATGTTTTAATCTATGTAAACAATCTGGACCTAATGAAAAGGAAACCATTTTCATCTCTTGAGTCAAGCGGAAGAATCTTACACAGGCAAAGGCCACGGTCTACTCTTTGATCCTCATATACCAATTTTTCTTTTTTCAATGGGTTTATGGATGATAACGGATGGTAACATATAACTGGCTGTCCCTTTGAGTATAAGAGAGCAATCCAGGTCTTCTAGCAAGAATGATGTTTCATTGCATATTTCAGCACAATACAGGTAAATGAAAATTATATTTAAGAGCTTACTCCTAGTTTTGTCTGTACATTAGCATAATTTCTAATTACATGATCACTTCTTGAGGTTTGTTCTTACACTTATGAAGCTTGGTGTTTTTCCAGATAAAAAAATGGAAGATCGGGAAAAATTTTTTAACTGCCAATTTTTATTTTTCTATTAATATTGAATAATAATTTGACGAGCGATTATTGCTCAAATTATGACATTTCAGACAGAATAATATGCTGACAAGCTAAGAAGAGAGAGAAAAAAACAAATACTCACGGGGTTGGAAATGATGGCGATAAATGCTTTTGGAGAGTTTTCACCTACAGCTTTGACAATTGATGCAACAATTGAAGCATTTGTGTTGAACAGATCATCTCTGGTCATACCAGGCTTACGGGGAACTCCGGCAGGAATAACAACAATATCTACATTCTTGAATGCATCCTACAGATAAGGATAAAAAGGAATTAATTGAAGCTCTTCAACGCATGCACCACTCAAAAATTAAAAGCTGATTTTCGACTTTTCACCAACTGCTTGCTCTTAAATAGAGAAAAAGAACTTTAAAGCAACACGTTTGGAGGGTGATAAAGAACATGATGACATTTCTTGAGTTGACAAGGGGTTAAATTAAATACACAGTCTGCATGAAATAAAACGTACGAATTTACTCTAAAAAGTTTTGATACTAAAATTTTGGAGGAGAAAAAATTTCATGCAAATTTGACATAATTGTCGATTTTTTAATTCAAGATTTGTCATTTTTTTCCCTAATTTTCGGAAATGATGACGGCGACTCCAAATATTTCACCGAATGACCCAAGATGGCCACTGGAATTTGGAATTGGTATTCCTGATTTTTCCAAGTATTCTCAGACTAATTTTGAGGGAGCTCTTCTGAGACAACACGGAATGGAAAACTTTTAAGATTTTCTGATCCAGCTTCAAGATGAGCTGAGAGCTGAGACTATGGAAAGTTGCCATTTTCGCAGTTGCTAGTATTCTTGTACTTTTAGGGCATAAACTCTAAATCCCCGATTTTTCCCGGTTTCTCACGACCAATAATTTCCCCCGATTTTTCACTGACGGTGGCCACACTGAGGTGCTTGTGTGCGAACTTGAAGGTTGCACACGGTGTTTGCCTTTTTCTGTGTTCAAAAGTTATAGCATGGAAAACGGAAAATTATTATTTTTGACCCTGAATTGACTTTTCTCCTACACTGCCGTGCTAAGTAAAAACACCATCAGAGTCATCAAGCATTGCCAAATTTCTTTCAACAAATCACGAATTTTCAGGAAAATCTGGGAATATTACTCCTCCAATTTTTCAGAGGATTTCGTTCGTAATTTGATCGAAAAGTCTGCCGATTTAAAGGAAAAATACTTAAAACTTTCTTCAAAAATAAATACTTTCAAAGAGGAGATTTGGCAACACTCGAATGCATATACGGCGTTTTTACTTAACACGGCAGTATAGTGAACAGTTTTCGTTTCCGCCTTAGGGGCCCTTTGCATGTCTCCATGACAATGACTGAGGGAGTACTATGAGAATTTACAGATTTTTTCCCGTTGAATTTTCTTTCGAAAGTTAAGCGTCAGTCAAGGTCATCCCGGCTCGCTATATCCCCCTCCTACTTCCCCTTGGGATCTCGGGAATCACAGAACGGTGAATGAGGAGTAGCTGAAGGGTCGGAAGAGATGANGGGGGGGGGGGGGGGGGACGAAATTATTTTGGAAGTGTTGAATTTTGGTGGCGCCACTTTGGCTCACCGCCGGTTGGGCGCTACGTGCGGCCGCGCGCTACGCCACCATGCCCTAGATCCACATAGGTACCCCACGTTCCCACGTAGCTGCAGCAATCTCTATCAATACATTTTTCTCAATTTTCACTCTCAAGTCACGGATGCGACGGAATTTTTCTCATAAAGCATAGAACTTGGATTTTGACAAGTCCAACGACAATCTACCAATTCGTTCTTCTTACCATCACCAAATACCGGAGGGGGGGGGGGGGGTGTCCAAATATAGGGTTGCCACAGAATTTAGAAAATGAAATTCCCTGACATTTCCCTGACACATATTGGTGTATTTCCCTGACAATTGAAGATGTGACGGATGGTTAAGAAGGCATAATTGAAAACAATTTTCAGGCAAAATTTCTTGTTCAAAATCTCAAACCCATTCTAGAAAGCAAATGAAGGGGATTTAACAAATTTTCCCTGACATTTCCCGGTTTTCCCTGGCTTTTCAAAATTCCCTGACATTTCCCGGATTTCCCTGACTGTGGCAACCTTACAATATTTTCAGAAATGGAAACTCTACGGATTTGGCAATTACGTAATAAATATTCCCTAGCCGTGAAGGGTAGAGACTAAAATGCAGAAGAAGCATAAGTTAATATCTGGGATCAGCACTAATTACCTACCCCCGATTTATCCTCTCTATTATAGATTAGCAACATGCACAAAAAATTGCATTTCATGAAAAGGCTCTTCTTCTTTTTACCTCCCAGGTTGAGTAATTTGAATCCATTCAAGTAATATGGAAGACATTTTGGCAGACTTTCAAACCCTCTCAACTGTAAGGCACTCGTAATACAACCTATCGCCCTCCACCATTAAATTACGAAAGCATGATCTGATACCATACACNTGTAAATCTTATCATAACTGGACTAAGCCCCTCTGCCTCCACCCCTCGTTAGACCCGGGAAGGCTAACTTAGACAGCCCCCCCCCCCAAGGGATTTACGTATAATACTTGGAAAGCCCTCAGATTAAATCCAAACCCCCTCATTCATCGTCTTATCTTGACTATGATATGTTGTAATTTGTATGAGATCTTCCCAGCGTTGAAAAGCGAAAGCTTCGTGATCCGTAAACCTCATGTCGCATAGAAGAGGAATATTGTGTGGTTTTAGCTTTTAGCGACCGCTGAATAATCTGGCCGTCGTGTAGATAAATTAGCGCGAGAAGGAGGGGAGGGGGGAGGTAAACAAAATATCCCCCACTGATTGATTTTTGAAGAAGATGTATGACCTACAAAATAAAAATAAACGAAGCAACAATGTGTTGGCTTCAAGGCAACTTTAATTGACGGGCGCATCTCTGGCTCGGAGACCGTGCCTGATCGTGACCTATGTTTTCGGATGCTAATTTTGACGAGTACTGACCATACCTGAATGGCATTCACTCAACCTCACTCCATTTTTGAGTAGTTAGAAACAACATGGGTTGCCACGCAGGGGCGGATCTAGCAATTTGGCAACAACGGATTCCTTCCATTTAAAGCTATGTTAAATAATTGATTCTTGTCGGGGCACCTGGCCCCTCCTAGAATCGATACATTTCCATAGGTTTAAATGGAGAAAAACAGTGTTGCCAATTTGCTAGATCCGCCAATGTTGCCACGAAAACTAATGATTAAGCCAGGGGTGCAGAAACTTCCCAACCACGCGACCGGCCGTTCGCGTGAAATAGGGGAACCCATGTGAGGACGAGAAAAATGGGGGAACCCACGTGAGGACGAAAAAATTGGGGGAACCTTGGGAGGTATTTTCTTTCTTTCTTTTTTAAGAGTTTGGGGGGAACTTGGCTGTTGAGTGCGCTACTTTGAGGGAACCTAACTGTCAAGCGCGCGGCTTCGAGAGAACTCGACTGTCCACCGCGTTACTTTATGTGTCGGGCAAAATTCTTCGAAAACTTAAAAGTTAAAATAGGGGAACCTAAATTCATCATGGGGGAACCCTCGGAAGTTTCTGCATCCTTCACGTAGTCCTTGCAGCACCACTACGAATAGGACCGACGGAAACAACCACAGTCACAGTATGGAAATAGAAAGAGGGGAACGACGCGGGTTGACGACGGCGCAAAGATACAACTATTCGTGCTTGATGGATGCCCGTGTTGCATCTACAAAATTGAAGGCGCGACGCGTGAACTCGCAATCGCTCTTAGTTACCAGTAAGGGGTCGGTGATGTGCAGACGTCGCTTCGATTCGGGAGAAAAGTTAAAAAAACAGGGCCCGAATGCATCAGCCTATCTTCGGCTGTCTTAGTACTCGATTTTTCTCCCTCTTTTCAATGCCTGATTTTTTTTTCACGATGTATTCTACACCTGTATCTGAAGCTAGTGTGTACCGGCACTACAAATTCCCCAGAAGAGATAGTTCGGTCGATATTACCCGATTGATCGGGGTAGTTGTAAAATAAAAACGGTATACGTATCTCTTGAATTGATCCCGCACTAGCTTGACATCCTAAGAGGCTCACTACATTTTTTTTTTTTTTTTTTTTTTTTTTGGACAACTGAAGTAGTACATCTTTAGTATAATGGTCCAATAGTATAATATGGACGAATTTATGCTAAAAGGAACTATGTGCATCGGGTTTGTGTGGGACATAGTTCCTTTCGGCATAAATACGTTCATATTATAGAACAATGAGAGTACTTTCGAAGTAAAAAAATGTCCTACCAATTCGCCTCCTTATTTTTTTAGCGGACACGGCAAGACTCTGATCAAAGCATCTCAACGAACAAGAGCCATTGCAAGTTTGCTATATCTCTGGGTCTGGGTCAAGCTACACTTGGGGTACTACATGTTATCAAAACCTCAATATGGAGATAAGAATAGATCATTTGACGTGCTCAAGAAGAAAAAAACGAGAAAGGAAGAGATAAAGAGAAGGGAATATTTGAGACACGTATGACGTAATCTGAGATAGGTGACACGACATTCAATGGAAACCTTCTTAACTGAATGACATTCAAGTGATTCAATAGTTTTACCTATACTGACCGATTGTTTCTGGCATTTTTTCACATTAGTGGAAAAAAATAATAAAATAATTTAGTGGTAAAACAATAATTTCAAACCCCTCCCCTCCTCATTGAAAGACACCCACCCTCAAGACGGCCCCTTCGGAATTACGCAAACCTTGCGCAACCCCCCCCCCCCTTCACCAATTTTTTAGGCAAAACAGGGAAAGCTTTTGTCTTTGGGGAAAGCCTAAAATATAGTTGTGAAATTTTGTTCCTACTTTAATGGAAGCTTGTGTATGACTGCACTACACCCTTCCGACCTCCCTATCATCCTCGTAAAACTCAGTAAGCCACGCTCAGAATCCATGTCTCATTGAGTTACCCACGTAACTAGTCACAATGTTACTTTCAGGCGGATGCAGACACCTCGAACAGGGGGGGGGCAGCGGCGGTTTCCCCAGAAAATTTTTGAAATTTTAGAGCATTAAATATGCAGTTCGAGTCAAATTTTTCATAAATACTTAAGTGCGAAATATGAGCTTCCTCCCTTCTTTTCACATCCTTTTCTTCCTTTTCCTCCATTTTCTAACTCCTCTTCGGGGGTGTAGCGCCCCCCCCCCTCCGGATTTGCCTATGACTTGTTAGTACGGAATACTATGAGTTCTCCAGAATTGCGATTCATTCGGCGGGAAAGTGATTCATACGGAAAACGTGAAGTTTTACTGTGGTGGCTGGACCATTGATTCCGGATACTTACGGCCATTTGTTCGTTTCCATTGTAGCCGGTGACCTTGGCCTTAGTTTCGATGTGGCTCAGATCGGCAGCGACTCCTGGGGCGTGGACGATGTCGTACAGAGACAACTCGGAGACCAACGGGGACTGCTTCAACAGAAGCGACAACGGCTGACCGATCCCGCCGCTTGCTCCGGCGACTGCCACGCGAGCCTTGTTCTGAAATCCACGAAAAAAAACCAACAATTATTCCCAAATAGATAGAAATCGATCATACTTACGATACTAAAAACTCGAGAAAAACTTAAAAACCTGAGAGAGGCGATTTGCGGACGTCTCGCTACGAGATGGCTAATACTGCCGTGCTAAGGAAAAACGCCGTTGAGCCTTCAGACGTTGCCGAATTTCCTAGGATAAAAACCAAATTTAATGGGAGAATTGTAAATATTTTCCCTCAAAATTCCCAAACAATTTTGTACGCAATTTAATCTAAAATACCTATCTAAAAATTTTAGGGAGAAATATGCTTAAATTGCATAAAATATACACCTTTCATTAAGGGAAATTTGGCAACTCTAAGATGTTCATACGGCGGTCTTCCTTAGCACGGCAGGATAAATGGGGGGAAGGACACAGCCAGCGATGAAAAACCAGTTTTAGCGGTTGAAAACCAGTCAAAGGACCGAAATTTATACGCGGGCGGCGCACGGTGGATCGAGTCAATAGTAGAGCCAATATGAGAGGTCGGACAAAATTTGGAAACTTTAAAGCTTATGACTCTTTGAAACTCTATGAAACTTTGAGGTTCTAAAGGTGGTGCCATTAGTTTCCTCGTGTAATTTTCTTCAGGAATCACCTCTTAAAATTTAAAAAGTGACAAATTAAACATCAAAATTCGCAGTTTTAGTTAACGATTTCAGGTCCGACCTCTCTAATTGACTCGATCCATTGTGCGGTGACTATCTTTTTCGCCGACATGAAAATTGCTCTAATACGCCTCCTTTGAAAACGGGATCTCCTATTATTTACTCTCCGGAACAACCTGATGAATCGTCGGAAATCGGTACGAATTAGCAAATAGTATTTTTCCAACCTGCGCTCCTAACTTTGAATTAGATTTATATATAAATGTTCGTTTTATTCAAAACTGTTCTCATCACAGTGTTTGAACCAATTTAAACGAAAGAGAGATAATCTTTGAACTTCAATCATGGCAGCTACATTTTCGAAGAAAGCCTGCACGATTTTAGACGTGAAATCTTTACAAACACTCCTTAATATAGCAAAAAAAGGCACTTTTCAGTTTTTTTTTCATAGAAAACACGCCTGTTATTCCCACGAGATTAATGAGAAACATGTTGCGCACCGCTTTAATTCATACCATGCCTAGAGACCTATTACAATAATGTACATCGACGTAATAAAGGTCTCATTGGTGAAGGACTTTAAAAGCAGCGTTACGGCTCGGAGCGCCTTCAAATCCCGATGATGCCCTCCGCATTGCCAGGCAGTTGGTTTAGTTGCCTATCCAAACCAAACCCAGCTAACGATGACAACTTGACGAGGCTTAACAGATACTTGCCGAACTTTTAACAAAACTTAGGCGTTTAGCTCCAAAGTCGATGGATGGAGGATTCAGGTTCAGGTTAGGCTGAAAAGTGAGCCATTTCGCTTATGATTTATACCAACCGTTTCCTTACACCTAGAAATCTAAGTTTGTGAGCGATTCGCCTGATGATTCGGAAGACTACTGAAGGCATTCAAATAACTCAAAATTTCCGCAAAAACCTCAATTTCTGGGAAAAGGTTGTGACTTTTTGGGAATTTCTCCAACTCGCTTGCCGCGCCGTGCCTCTTGTTCACCGCGACCCGCAGATCGTAAAAAGGGCAATTTCAGAATGCCAGCTTGCAAGGTCCAGAATCGCCCTCAAGTAATTATGGAGCTTCTATACAGACTCCGTAAGCTCAACGGATGCAGATTGGTTTTTGGAACAAATGAAACACGAATTATTTGTCACAAAACTGTTCCAGTTGTTGCTCCGGTAACTTCAAGGACCCAAAACGATCACGGTTTCGTGGTAGGCGAATTTCTGAGTCCAGGAATTCGATGAGCTCAAAATTGAAAGTACCTAAGTATATCTGACGAAAGAGGACCCACATTCGAAAAGAAGTGCTCTGTTCTATTTATTTTTGACCAACTCACGCGTGACTCCATGAAAAAAATCCTTCATAGAACTTTCACAGAGCTGCATTTTAGGATGCTGAAATTATATTTGTCCTTCTGTTTAGCAGTATTATGAACTAAGTATATATGAACTCGTTATATCTTTCCAAATGAAAACGGGACGAAAGCAAATGAAAATAGTACCTGCATGGTCCTAAAATTAGCAAAGATGACGTGGACTTTTTTCTCGAGAAAACTTAGCCCACCCAAAAAATTCAATCTACAGGAATAGACACTGACTAGACTACATCGGCACAACTCAAAAATTTTGTAGCATTCCAGCCCATAAATTTAAACGCCCACTTAAAAATGGAAATCAGATAAGGCCTGGTATTTATGCTTCTTTGACATGCTTGGTTTTATCATCTCCTCGGTCTTAAATCTAAAGGTATGGAAATCTTATCAATGACCAAAGTGCGAAATCACGTACCTCCGTTTGCGACGTTGCAAATTTCTAGTCTTACTAAAAAATTCTTTGGAAAACTAATGATTATAATTTCTTTAAAATTTCCAAAAAGTTTTTTCTGGGTCAACTGAATATTCTGGAAAAATTTCAAGTTATTAGGATGGCTTGTTTCGCTTCGAAAAAATATAATGGTAGTGGACATTTTGAAACATCGCAATGGAAATACGTGGTTTTGCACTTTGGCTATTTTGCCGTGCTAAGGAATAAGGAAGAACGCCGTAAGAACCTTCGAGAGTTGCCAAGTTTCCCTTGTTAAAATATGTATTTTTGAGAACATTCATGCATAGTTTTTCTTGAAATTTTCAGATATTTTAGATTAAATTGCGTACAAAATTGTTTGAAAACTTTGGAAAATAATATTCGTAATTTTCCCAGTAATTTCGGTTTTTATCGGAGGTAACTTAGCAACGTCTTGAGGGTTCATACAGCGTTCTTCCTTAGTACGGCAGTATTGTCATGATAAGGGTCAAATAAGCAGCTGTTTGCCTCATTCACTCACATCAATGAATTATTCTGGCACTACTTACTGAGGTGAAAATTCGATTTTTCTCGACTCTTTTTTGTGCTGTGTTTGATGAGGTAGGTTGACTTTTTCCCATAAAGAGAAGGAAGCCAGGTTGGACAATAGATGTTGGTTTTTAAAAGTAGAGTGAAAATCGAAGCATCCACGTGTTTCCAAACATGTTAAATACATAATTGATTGTTGTGAGAGTTGTTAAAAAAATATATTCCACAAGAAGACTGGGTGTTAATGCAGTTTATTGTAAGACTATTGATCAAACTTGATCATTTACTATGCACTTGTAACTATTAAGGATTTTCTCAGTGGCTTTTGAAATACACCTTGATAAAAATTAAACTTATTCCTCCTCTACAATACTGCTTTACTCCAATGAAAAAAAAGGGGGGTCAAAACAGTTGCTGAAATATTTTACCACTGGAAATTTTTTGACAATCACGCAAGCATTAGAATGTAAAAAAATCATTCAAAAACATCAGAGCTCAGAGTTGTAAACCTTAATTGAACACTTAAGGGTTTGGGCAGAGCTAGATATTTTTGGGGCAGGTGGCGAGCGAGACCACTGACCCTTGGTAAGTTCTTAGGTATTTCCTGCCATCAAACTGTCCCAATTTATAGAACGGAGATGAGAACGAGCAACTTAAAGGGAGACACGCGAGTACAGAAAATATTCAAGTGCATAAACCCTGGCTCGCACGTAGCGAATAGAAATGAGTGTTCGAGGAAATCGTTCTGTGATGAGGATTTACTCATTCACATTTACTGAGGAAGAAAATTAGGAAACATGATAAAACATACTGCTTTTAAGGGGTACAAATTGTTCTACGCATCCTGAATAATCTGAGTTCTCGAAAAAAGGTCAACACAATACACTGATCAAAATTTTGTTAAATTTTTGGACGATTTTAGAATGTGTGACAAAGTTGCAATATTTCATGAGAGTTGAACTTTCAAAACTGAAAACGTAAAAAAAAAAATTTCTCAGCCTCCGCAGTTTTTGGGACAACTCTACAATTTGGTCGCAACTGTGCGATCAAGAACAATTTCCACCCCGACTGTTTAACATAACTTTTCTGGTGAACACATAATTTTGACCCTTAGGCAGAGTGAGGAGGCTAAGATTGCGAAAACATAATTCTTCTTCCAGAGAACTTGGTGCATCCCGAGAGAGCAAGGCCTCCCACCCAGATATATTCACTGCAACCATGGCTACCAACATTGTATATCCTAAAACTATAGGGTATTTTCACAGTAACCGTCATGAGAATAGATCCTGATACTAAGTTGAAAATCAGCCCATTTAGCCAAATACAACAAGGCTGCAGCTGCAAGGCGCAGATTCTGTTTCATGGTACATAAAACTCAGAGAGGGTAACTATCATTAGACCACCGGTTGCCTGCTTTGGCATAGAAGTGATCGTTGCTTGATTTGGTCTTATCTGCTGTATTTCCACCGTACTTATATCAACTAACATCTCATGATCGCACCCCATGCGCTGATAACCCTGACCATGCATCCATTGTTAATGTTGCACGGTTTTGTATCTGAGAAAGTGTTAGTATACGTCGTTATCGGAAAATATATGAATTGATTAAAGTCACAGTGTTACAGAAAAAACACTTAAAAGACTCTCCTCACACAAATTCCATGCTCTGACCTCAAGGATGAATTTAGTAAGGGAGAAGTGTGAGACAAACCTTGGCTGAAGTTGAGAACTGTTTTCCATTCTTTGATACGGTGTTAAGGAGTTGAGATGACACAAATCGAGAAAGCATGATGAAAATAGGTTTGGAATTGGTTAAAACTTAAAAAACACGGATAATAAATTAATTAACAACGCGTTCGGATCACAAATTTGGTGAGCTACCACCCGGCCTGCCAGATAACGCGGAAAAGGAAGAATTGGACGAAAATACTGATTAGATAGAAGGCTGGTTTACTCATGACGTCATAACACAGATTGTTCAAAACAGAGTAACCTTACTTGCCTTATTCTCTATACTTTGAATGCAAAAAAGTCGAGACCATCGATATTTCTCTGTGACGTAAGACTAATACATTCATTTTAGAGCTTCTGATTGGTCCAACTACCCTGACCTCCGTTTATTTCTTCAGTTTGCATGTGATCAATAATTTGTTTTAGGGATGTTCGATTAGTCAAATAATCGATTAATCGTAATCGGTAGTAACCTAGTTTTAATAATCGATTACTACGATTAATCGGAATCAAATAATCGATTAATCGATTAATAATCGACTATTAATCGATAAGATCAAAAGCTTTGATAATGCTTTTTGAATCTCTTATTTTTTAGTTTTTTACCATCTAAGTAAGCTGTTTAGTAGTTTTCTTACTTTGTTTGTTTTCTGTTATAATACCTAAAATTTTGGGCAGTTTTGCCTGCATTTGTATCTTAAATCTTACGAAGAAAATTTTAAATAAAGAACTGGTAAAATTTTGAAGCTGCACCATACAAAGAGATGAGGTTGTTGCTTTCAAAATCGGGTTCCTCATACTTACAGTCTATACGGAAATAATTGTTTGTCTACTTAGTTGAAGAATTCATTCAAGAAAAAAAATGTTTTTCGACTGAGTCCAAAATGAGGACTTAAAATTGACGCGCTGGGTGCAAGGGCATTTTTTGGTTGTGGTGTCTCAAAATCTTCTCTAACGTTTCATCCGTTATGAATTAAGATTAAAGCAATTTCGTAATTCATTGTGACTTTCACTGAATATTCTCTTGGATTTTAAAATGCTAAAAACGTGAAATTTCAGAAAATTCACCCAAGAGTTTCCTCTCTAAAGGATAAATTAGCACTGGAGATTCTGAAATCCGGTAACCGAGAAATGCCCTTTTTGCACTCAACGCCTCAAATACCACACATCTTTGATTTAAAGAATTCTCTAAATTGTCATTAGGTACAGAAAAATGAAGAGCACAAAATTTAAGAGTCAATACAACTCTCCAGTTCAAAAATGAAATGTAAATAATAAATATGAACACAAATAACTGGAACTAAACATGTAATATAATTTGGAGAGTTAAAAATTAAAGAAAATTTTGTGCAAAACGTGCACATGCACGATAGAATGTAATAACATAACAACACAAGAATAATTTTCATTCAAAAGGCGCGTTGAAAACTTTCATTTGCTAATGAATAAGATATCGCTGAATTACAGAGTTGATTAAACATTAAAATCAGACTGATGGAATTTCGAGGAATACTTGGTTTGGAAAATTTGATGTGATCGTAGCACAAGAAGAAATGAAATAATTGAGAAAGAAAGTAAGAAAGAACAAGACCGCAGCTGCAGCTACATCTACAGCCGGGGGGTCAATCAGATTTTAGTGCCAGCCGACGTCATACTTAAAAGTCCAATCACATTTGGTTTGGGTGGTTTTATCTGACGTATCTGACCCATGGCTGGAGGTGGATCAACCTTTTGTTTGAATTAATCGATTATCGTTTGAAGTAATCGATTGTATACGATTATCGATTATTTTTTATTAATCGTTTGAAGTAATCGATTAGACGATTAATCGGGGAAGACGTAATCGAGTACTAATCGTAATCGAAAGGTAACCGATTAATCGATTAATCGGTTGGTAATCGATAATCGGAACATCCCTAATTTGTTTACATTTTAATCCAATCATCTTATCAGTGGCATTATAAGATTTCAGTAAAAATCTCTAAATTTTACTTTATATTCTAACATTTCGCGCAAAACAAGCTGAAATTTACCATTTGACCTAGTCGTCATAGAGTATTTCCCTTTCTGTAATCAGTTCCTTGCATTTCTTCAACAAATCAAAGTTGTGAACTAGAGGCACATCCTTCAACATGAGTGAGACGGAAAATGTCTTTTTGTTCGTCCCAAATCTCATCGGTAAGTCAATCACCTGTTTAAATGTAATAAACAGCAATGGTCTTGCATGTGTTTTGCTCTGTATGTTTCAGAACACCATGTCATGCTACTGTTGTCCGTCTCCAATTCCATAAAGGCTTGTTGAAGGTCTCGATGTAAGTACATACTACTTACGAAGTTGAAAACGAATCTTAGGATGTACAAAGAATAATGTGTTGTCAGTTAAATCATCAGTTACTTTTGAAATCCAGGCCTATTTTGTAAGAGAAATTTGTAATTAAGTAATTCGCAGCCACTACCTATCCAAGTCAGATCCATAAACGAAGAAACAGCTTGCCACACACTAGTACTTAAAATTAACAGTTTCAAGATTTGATCAATAAAGTCTGGGTGAATTTATATGTATGACGAACTGATTAGTTTTGAAAAAATTGACGTTCTTATTAGGCAATCTTGTCTATAGATATTGAGCCAATGGCTTGAGGAAGTGACATTTCTTTCTGTCTTTCAGGTTATGCCCGGGTGATTTTGGCGATTATTTCATTTTACTTCATGCCAATTAGTCTCCCAATCACTGTGTGGTGCTACGCGATAAGTGGATTATTAGATGCTGTTGATGGTCATGCTGCTCGCTATTTCAATCAAAGTGAGTACATTATTGCTCGTTTCATTTGCCATGTGGCTCTTCATGCATTCATGAATTCACTAAATTGCATCATCAGTCTTGCTCAATGTTAGGATACGGCAAATCCATCCTGAGTTGGTTCGGTTAGGGCATTGATGGCTGGATCCATGGGGGAAAATATCAGGATTAATTTCCCCCTCAAAACCAGCAAAATTTTTGAGGAAGGCAAAGGGTGACCATGCTTCCGTGCTAAGGAAGAACGCTGTACAAACCTTCAGACGTTGCCAAATTTCCATTTATAAAACACAAACTTCCTGGAAAATTCATGAATATTTTTCTTTCAATTTTTCTGATAATGTTGTTCGCAATTTCACCTAAAGTTTCTGCAAATTTCAAGGAAAAATATGCTTAACTTTTCTCAAAAATAAACACTTTATTGAAGGAAATCTGGCAACTCTTGAATGTTCATACAGCATTCTTCCTTAGCAAGGCAGCGTGGCTCAGAAGGGAAAAAAATGAGATTTCTTTATTTTGGAATGAATTTCTAAAATCTAGAGGCTCAAAGGCATATTGCCTAAATCTCACAAACAATCAAATTTTTTAAACAGTGAGAACATAATTTACAAATTTTTGGCCTTTAAATCTGTATTAATTTTATTTGATTGAGAACTCATCTTTAAAGATTCCAATATGATTCTCGGCCATTTAGAGAGACAAAGAAAAATTCATGGAAATATTTTATCTTACTTTCATCTTTATATACAAATGATTTTTCCCTAAACGGATGGACCATTGTTTAAAAGATATTTTTTAATGGTATTTTCTTATCTCTTTTTCTAAGACTTTTTGTTTTGATTTGGTGTATTTTGTCTGCGTTCTGTGCACAGGGGTCTGAATACTTTAAAAATATCTCTATGATCACAAATAGAAAACAGCTAGAATTTGTTTTGAAAAAATGATTTTTCCTAATTAAAAGTAAGCCATCTAATATTTGAAAAACAAGCTTAACAGGATCTCTGTATTTTGGTATAGGTACAAAATTTGGAGCAATGCTGGATCAGTTGACAGATCGGATAGGGACATCATGCCTAATTCTAACTCTGAGCTACTTCTACCCGAAGTACATGTTCTGGTTTCAACTGAGTTTAGCGATAGACATCTCCTGCCACTGGATTTTCCTGCACACGTAAGTAATTGTCCGTACACTGTAAGAAGTAATCAAAGCCATGGTGTAATGAGTGAAAAATGTCTTTGTTTTCCTGCGTTTTCTATCAAGTATCTCATGTGGACGGATAAAACTTTATAAATCTCAACATTCTGATTCACTCAAAACATGCTTTAGCTATAGTAATTGCGGAAGACACTTGAATTTTGTCCTCACCATGTATCCATCCACTGAAAAAATATAACTTTGAGACTCAGTTTTTGTTGCTTTTTCTGAACTCATAATAAAATTTTAAGTTTTTAAATGGTGGAGGGAGAAAGGATGGTTTGTACCCCTGCCCTACAGTCAATGATGAATATCGGATTTCCAAACTTGAATTTCCTCTGAAGTTAAATTTTTTCTCCTATTTCTTCTTTTTTCTCTATTTCTTAATCCTCAAAGGCTCTGTAAAAGCTTTTTCATTCAGCATCTACAAGCGTCAAGCGATGGGTTCCTGTGGACATTAAGTTATGGTTATTTTATTGTGCTGAGCAAAAATACTCTATGATGAGAAATTTTTCCTTTTTTTATCTTCACTTGATTCATTACTGGTTTTTATGATTGAAGCAAAAAATGAACTAGCCAAACTTCTACATTAATTTTTTATAGAGAGGAAGCTGTGACCAAATTAGCATTGGAGGGCCAGAAGGAAGAGGTGGCTTAAATTCTCTTTTTTCAGTTTAGTATTATGGTTCTCACGCTTCTTTCCAGGCATGCCAGTATTTGGAAATAGGCTAATAAAAGAAAATCACCTTAATACCTAGAGTTGAATTTTGTGTTCTATTTGCTTTTTTGATATATAATGAAATGCTGTGGATTGTAGGTCAATTCTTCAAGGCAAAACAAGTCACAAGCTGATCGATATGTCTGAAAACTATTTGATGAACATCTACTATACAAATAAACCCGTCCTCTTCTTCATGTGCGCAGGCAACGAAGCCTTCTATCTTTCATTATACTGTCTCTATTTCACCACAGGTCCCATTGGTAAGTATGCATTTCATCCTGATAAAAATTCTTAAAAAAATAATTTTCTACATCTGAGCTTTTCATCTGAGCTAAGGAGCTTTTGAGTTTTGTTTCAAAATGAAGAGTTTTATGTGTCTGTGTCTGGAAACAGGCTTTAAAGCTGGCTCCGAGTTATGCATATTTGAAGAGTTGCCAACCCAAACTAACAATAAGTCAATGGACTATTAGACTAGGTGCAAATTTAAGCATTGTAATACATTTTGTCTCTTCAAAATTTCACTTACTAAGCACACAATTTGTACAACAAAAAATACTTTAAGTAACTCCTGACCAAGGTATCAACATTTTTCGATGTTTAAATTCAAACTTCCTGCCCATAAAAAAAAAACATAATTGACTTGAGTTAAATTGAATACTAAACGTTATTATACCAGTATTTGTTGCATGAACATATGACAGTCTCAATCTTAACATTTAGGCTCAGCTATTACACATTGTTCAGACTTTGAACAATACAGAGTGGGGAAAGAATATGCTTTTTGAGAGGCCTGTCAAAACAGTTGTGTGGTGCGATTTGATTCAAGTATACTCTACTTCTCGTTAATGGGATATTCACTTTTTTCGTAACTCCTACCAGATAAAAATGTTAATATCTTGGATGAGACTTAATTTCAGTGATTTCTGTTGCAGTTACTATGTATCAACCATTAACAAAATTAACATTCCACATTTAAGTAGGGCCATTCTTCCTAAAACAATTTCATAGTCCTCGCCGTCAAGTTTGATAATCTTTTGGTTGTTGGTTAATATTCTTTTCTTTTCTGATCTATTTCCAGTTGCCGGACTCAGCTTATTCAAGCTGATATGCTACGTTAGTGCCCCCATTGCTCTGCTCAAAACCTTCATTTCCCTAGTTCATGGATTTGTAGCTTGTAAGAATTTGGCGACTATCGACATTTCTGAACGAGAAGCTTTGCGCAAAAAGAAATAAAGTGACATCAAGTCATTTTAATGATCATTCCTTTGATGCTTTATTGTGTCTCTACTTTAACTAACCTATTATTTAATAGTAGAGGAAATTTAATACCATATGCACTCGGACTCAATGTCATGCACCTAACAATTCTTTGCTTTTAGAAAGACAAAAGCTTGCATAAAGACTCTAGGATGAAAAGGTGCCAAGAGATATATTAATAATTTACAGCCACGATTCTTAGATTTTAACTCTCTTAAAACTATGTCCCTCCAATGAAAGTGAGAAGTTTATTTATCACATCTGTGAGTACTTTTCTTTTCTTTTTGTCACGCAAAATTGAGCGAAGCTGAGTAACAGTGGCATGGCGTGAATAATCGAATATCGATATCTCGCCATTTGAAGCTATGGTAAAGAATCGATTACTAAGGTGTTCGCTGCGAACACCCTGATAATCGATCTTTCTTCATAGGTTTAAATGGCATAACAATCGATGTATCGCAATTCACGCCACACCACTGCTGAGTAAAATAACAACAATGAGAATCTCAAAGTTGTCAGGCAGCTTTTGTGTTTTCTATTTTCTTTTTCTTTTTTTACGGTGTATTATTTTCCATGTTGTTTGTACTTATATGTGTACCTACCGAGAAAAGAAGAACATACTATGTTTGTAGGTACAATGAAGATCAAGCCAGCCTAGATAAGTTATTTAGATGAGAAAATTTTTGTCTCGGGAGCAAATCGTTGAAAATTTAAGTATGTGTCAAAATACTTTAAAAACCTCTTAGTTTTTAAAGTATTTAAAGGTGGAATAATTATCTAATTTAAATTCAGTTCTTCGTCAATTTTAATTGTGCGTAGTTTGTAAACATGCTGTCTCTGTGAGTTCCCTCTCACAAATGTGTTAGTCATTCATTCAAAAGAGTTTCTCAATGAACTCTTTCAAGGAGAAAAAAACATTCTTCCATTGCATTTTAAGTAAATAATCAATGTTCCTTATTATAATTAGTTTAGAAAAAATGTGAGATATTATGTCCCCCAGTGAGAGATTACTTATTTCTCACAAAATTGCTAAGATTTTTCTTCTAACTGAACTTATCACTCATAACAGTCCTTTCGACTGTTTGAGGAATGTACTGTCGAAGTATTTCATGTTATCCCAGGTTTTCACTCCGATTATCCCACAGTCTCTTGTCTTCATTATTCTTTGTACTAAAAGAAAATAATGATTTTTTTGTCTCTTATACCATCCCTCCTCTTTTTCCAGTAGCATACCTAATACTTGCAAAATTTTTATCTCTTCCATCAAAGCTTTTAGTTACCTACCCTAAAATGTACCTCTAGTTAAGAGTGTTAGAATTGCATACCTGCTAAGCAAAGCCTCTTGTGCAGTCATTAGATTGGATCCTATTCGTGACAGAGCAATAGAGCATGTGGGGTTATTTTAACTCTCAAAGTGTTGTATGTACATACGGTGGATGGTCCAATTTTTCCCCTCTATTTTTTTGTAAGTATAGATTATAACAGAATCTCAATTCGTCTTCATTGTTGATTTTAATGTATATCTAGTTGGTTTGCTAAAATGAAAGAAAATGTACTTAATTGCTCTCTACAGCTATGTCGTCTCGGTGCTCAGGACTCTTCCGGATTATAATGTATTATTACATTTCTGTGGATTATTTGTACCTGGCGCAAGAGTGATATTCATGATTCAGTAGTAAATTATGTGTAGCTGATTTTACGAGAGCGATAGCGAATCCTGAAATTTTTGGTTAGATCTAGGTAATTGTCATTTGACTCGCTCATTTGTCGTAGCATATGCTGTTTAAATATTCACTGAAAGAAGTAACAAACAACATTTCATACCAGGCATTCTATTCTTTAGGAAAATTCCAACTAGAGGTATTTTTGACGAAATGTTTGAAAATTCAGAGAAATGTTAAGTTGCTTGGTTGACTACCGAATTGTTATTATCAATAGGTTAAGTCAACGCAAAATAAATTCACGCTCTTCTAGAGTGCAACAGAAGATTAGCTGCATTCAGTTTAGCATTGATACTAGATACTAAGTATTAGAATCAAAATAAAGGATCTTCAATTGCACTCTAAAAATGTGTTAACTTGTTCGGTGTACTCTTAATGTGCCCATTGCGGATGCACCTTTAATAAATCTTGATGAAAAAAATGTAGTAAAGAAGGATTATACCGTGCTAGGATATGATAAGATAAATTATCTTCAACTTGAATCATTAAGGCGTTTTCAGATTCAATAGAACTGTTAATTACAAACTTAGAGACAGTGCTAGTCAGTCGATATTGGAATCGGCATTGGGCAATACCTCTGTTTGCTTGCCTTTGATCCTACCCCAAAAATCTTACTTGGACTTACTCACTGTTCTAAGGAAGACAAATTAGAGGGCATTCTGTCCATCAAACTTGAAGGGTGTCGCCTTTCTCTTAAATAAATCTCTGATTAAACCTTTCAATTAACCAAAAAAATGTTTCTTCTCCTCGTAAAACATGAAATTGAAATAATATTTCAGTACAACTTTTGACCAAATTCGTTGAAATTGCATCATTTTTGTGTACAGTGCAACTGACCCTCTTATTGTTAGAAACCATATTATTATGTATGCAAAAATTTATTAATTGTTATATTACATGTTCAATGTGAATAATAAAATATTTACTGTAGTCCCCTGAAGGACTACGCATCCAAATCACCCAATATGTATTTTTATTGATTTAGGGATTTCGACCTATTTTAGAAGTTTTTATGGCAAAATTCTAGAGAATGATATCAAAACTTATGACCATCTGTGGAATAAGGGCTTTTTAAGCCAAAACACTCAAAGTTTGAACAAGGAAAGGTGTTATTAAGTTTTATCCCTCCATAAGTTCCAATGTCGAAAGTACATAAAGTTTAACTGCTGATTTTACGTTCCAATTCAATTCTGTTTTAAATATTCTGATCTATCTTGTCGAGGGTCAAAAATTATTTATACATATATAAGGGTCAAGATTTTTAGATTATTGATTTTAAAAAAAAAAATGACTAGACTCTAATTCATGGGATACCAGGCTTTTTCAAAGAAAATCTCAAATTCTGATTTCCATATTAAAGGCTTGTAGGAAAGCTGAACAAGGACAAGTAGACAGAAGATTTGACTGGCTTTTGAATGAAAAAAGAAGAAAGCCTGAATAATTTCACAAACACTGAAAAAACCTTCAGCTTGTTGGGGTGCTTACAATATTCTTAATTGCTTACTTACTTCCCTAGCAGTTTAGATCTAGTGAACATGAAATATATTGTAGAGATAGATGGGTAAAATTTAACAAAAGAAGATAGTTTGGCAGATGAAAACTTATGTATTTAATTAGGAGCAGTTCACATTCTGGTCTTACTTCAAAAGGTGAGAAATCGATAACAAGAAGGAAAATTAAGCCTAGTTAGTGGCTGTTGGAAAAAAATTAAAACTAGGTGGTGCAACTGATAAAACAATTTTGACATTCAAAAAATTTCACAGGTAAAAATAAAATGACAAAGAAAAAGTAGGTGAATGCTGATAAGAAAGAAAATAAATTCAAATTTTTAACGGGATACCAAAGCTCATCTCTGGACAGTTGAGACAGTATATTCTTAAATTTGTGTACTTTGAGGTAACTGATCAGAAATTAGAATCTGCAGGGGTGGAGACCTTAGAAACCTTACTCATATCCCTCAAAAATTAAGATTTTTTTTTTTTAAAGAAAAAAAAATTCGTTTTTTCACCATCAGTTACAGCTAAATAAAATAAATTAACTATGATCACTTCACCTCTGAGCTTGAGATTCAAGGTGTATAAGAAGAGGCTCTTTCTTTGCTAAAGCCCAAACGCTTTACATACAATACGTATCAAGTGGTAAGAAAGAGACAAAGCAGAGCTTAGATTATAAGAGAGGCTGAAGATATTTCATGAAGATTCTGAAATTAGGCGCCTTCAGCTATTTATGAGTCTGTTGGTTCTGAAAAACTTGGATCCTTGGCCTTACATTTTCTCGCACTGTAAATGTACTTCTTCATGATGTTCATACACAATTAGGGGACCGAAAAGTCATATTTCTTCCTTTATCCATATGATACCTATCAATTTAAACAACGGCTGAGATAGAACAGGAACTTTTAAGCTAATGTGTTAAAGCATTGGAGAGCTGTAGATGTAAGTTAACGAATGCAGTCAACAGCTAGAGCTATGTTAAGGCCATGGATGGAAAGCTATAAGATTCTGTTGCAGAGGATTTGTAGTACGATTATAACATTTTAAAATTTGCAATACTCACGTGCAGTCTTGCATATTCAAAATTGTTTTGAATTTTAAAATTTTAACACCATTTGGAAAAAGTCTAAGTACTGTATTTTAATTTATAGTTTGCACCCAAATAGGAAAAATTCTTATTTTTACTTTTAACCAAACAACATATATGTGACTGAGAACGTCATACATCAAATCTGAAAGGATTTTAAGTTCCTCTCTAAGAACAGAAAAATTAGACAGACTCATGGTGGGATGAAAAAAAAAAAAAAGAATGGACATAGAGCTGAATCACTGTAACTATTTGAAATTTAGCGTATCTTACATTGATAGCTAAGGCAAGGACTAGATTTGATCCTGCCAGATTTTGCTTACACATGCTTACACAGGCTTTTCTTCATTTAGTCTTTTGGACGTACGTTGGTTACAGTGATACGTTTCTTTTTATTTTTGTTCTTCTATAGTTTTGGAGAAACGTGGAGAAAATTTAAGAATGCTGTGAAGTTGAAACATACGTTCTATTAAAAAAAAATGCACATTTACAAAAGAGAAAGCATTTTCTGCAGGAATTTTTACGTTTTGAAAATATCTTTCTTCATTTACTCTCAAAACATGAGCTTAAATGTATCACTTACCTGCTGCTCGCTTCATTTTCAAACACATTCAGGACAACTTTGAATGTAGCAAGGCAGTAAAAAAATATAACAGGGTGGCATAAAATACAGTTCACAATTCAAACGGCGAGCCTTATCCCTCGCTCATTAAAAAGTGCGTTTACAATTTTCATGAAATTACATACAAAATTCAGATTTTTGGAACATTTAAATTAAACTTACAATAAATGAATACAGAGCTAATTTCCGCACTGAGAAAACATGTAATACTGGCTGATGGATTTCACAGCACAATGATGTCATCAGCATAACCGTTATCCTGATTATCCACTTTGGCTTTCTTCGTAGGGATTTCATCACTGTCAGATTTCCTCTTCCGTACGTCATTGGTTTCATTCTCCAAATCAACTTGCATCACATTATCATCTTCATTTTTAGAACCTGTAACACCAATTCAATTCGATTTAACAATCAATGATTTTCAAGACAGGAAATTGAGTTTTTATCTGAGGGCACTGTCAGATACTTGGTTAAATTAACACTTTGTTAAAAAGGTACCATAAAATACTAAGACTCTCTTGTTAAAATTAAGGTTTGCAGCAGAATGGGACATTTGGAAAATAAGAAAAACGTCTTCAAAATCTAGAGCTAATGAGAGAATCATCTAGATAAAGTAGGATAAAGCTTAAACATGTCTAACATCTATGAATGAACTCTCCTCCCGAACAATTCTGGAGACAAATGAAACCCATTCATATACTTCTCAAGCAAATTCCAAAAAAATAAAAATTAATCAATAGAATGATCAGAAACGGAAATAAACTTCTAATCAAGGTATTACTAACTTTAGAAGATAATGCTTGTTTGTTATTTGGATCGCATTTGGCAAAAGGGAACCAGAGCTAATACAGCGTTGTAAAAATGTTTCTTCTTCATAATAAACTAAAAAAATTCCCAGAATAGCAAATAGTTTTGGCTTTTCACCAAAAAATCGTTAATTAGAAAAGAAAATAATCAAGTAAATTTTAATACTGTGTACACATATTAAATATTTTTAAAAGAAAAGAAGGAGTCGCACAATTTTGAGAACATGGTAACCACGCTGGTTCCTTTCAGTTAAATGCGATCCATTTATCGCTTGAAATGGAGCTTTTGCACTACCATTTATTTTTTAATCCATTTTTGGAGTGTGCATAAAAAATGAGTGTGCCTGCATTTTTCATTTTTTTTTAAAATCAAAAGCTGAAAAAAAAACTTTCTAAGTTTTTTTAAACGACTAAAACTGTGTTTGATGTGTGGCTACCATAAAATACTACATTAGAATAAGAGCAGTTACCATTCTTCTTTTCTTCCTCTTGAATAGGTTTAGGAACCAGATCTTCAGCGGCAGCAATGACCTCATACTCGGGCTGATCTTTGACATAGGCTTTGTGAACGATACTGATCCTCAGCTCATAGTCTTGTAAAAAGTCATCTGCAACTATGACACTTCCGTCTTGCAAACCAAGTTCCTGTGTTGAGAAAGGAGGCGTCAGTAAAATAAAATCTAATTTACATAAGCATGCAAGAGTATGCAAGTAGAATGGATGGAAAAGCAATGCCAGTTTGAGGGGATGTAGGGTCGTGTGCGAAACTTTACAGGGTTACGTTTTGGCTTCAATATGATTTCTCAGGATGAGATGGTTATGACTGACCCTCAGCATATTTGCTCTTAGTGAAATGAATTTTCAATTCTTTAATTTTTTAAAAGTAGAGAGTGCATTCAGTTAACAAGAATTTTCTTTGATTTTATTTTCTTGAATAATATGTACTAACAATAAGCCATGATCTAAAAAATGATTCAAACTTGCACATTTTGAGCTCATGTTGATTCCATGCAAAAATTACGGTTGAAAGACTTCAGTACCTTGAGTGTTTTTGCATTGTTTGATGTTGTTTCACCTTCTTCACTTGAGATGAGCACAACCCCTTGGCCATCAAGAGTGACATCAGGTGCATGCATGTTCAATGCTTTTTTCAGGACTATTTCTTCAAACTGTTTGACAGTCATTCTTTCGATATCTATTTTAACAATAACCTGAAATGGCAAAAAATTCATTTTCAGATTCAAACAAATAAGACGGATAAAAAAGCGAAGACTGACTTAATTAAATAAGGATGGTATGCTGATCTTTCTTCACAAAAAAATCCTTCAAGGAAGTTAAATTTTTAAACAGTTTTTAATTCTTAAAAATACACAATTTCAACATGGAAAAGTTTTGATGTCAAGAAACCATATTAAGGTAACTATTCTTTGTTATTAGTGCAGAGTAAATAGTTTTATTGAAACAAAGTCTGACTCTTGAAACAATAGTGCCCTCTCAAGCAACGCAAAAATTTCCTTGTTTTCAGTGAGGAAAAGGCTGGTTTAAGATGACTACCGTTTTCAGGAGTTCAAATTAATTTGTTGGCTGGTATTATTTTCATTGCTTTTATCACAGAATTTAAAAACAAAAAAGAAAAAAACCCACCTCTCTCTTAGCAGAGCACACATAACACTTGGGGTTTGGAGATTCAAAAACTTTTTCTGGAACTATGACATGTCCTTTGTGGTTTGGCTTCAGTCGTAAATAAACTGGTACACAAGTTTCCAATTTGTTTTCTAGGATTCTGAGGGCATGAAGGACAACTAGCCCAGCAATAACTGCATTTGTGGTGGCGATAGCAGGAATGATGTTACCTGCCATTGCTAAAAATTACAAGAGAACAAGTAATAACAAATCAGAGTTTTAAAAATATTGAGGAACATCGCAAAATTGAATTTTTATAATGAAATGAGTGATAAATACATTAAATTCTAGGTAAAATTTTACTTAGATATCAAGGTAACTAAATATGAATGTAGTGAAAGATTATATTTCATCTGAGCCAAATTCGAAAGATTACTCTACTTTTTAAAAGGAAATACTAATATTCTAAGGGCAAGCAACAAAAATTAAAGCATGTTTTAAATTGTTTTATTCAAATTTCCAGAGTTGTCGTTTTGAAACTTCATTTTATGCTTCAGGTTCTGCATGAATTGTACTGAAAAGAGTATGCAATAATACTTCAAAGCTTGATCAACGTGGTTTGTCCTTTTTTTCGGGAGGTCTGGAGAGACGTAAAGCAGAGACCTTTGGGCAGAAAACGAATAAATTCAACAAGGTTGAGTTCATTTGCTTGGAATTTGATAGGGCGCAGAATCTCTCAAGTTTCTAAATTTACTATGTTACTGATCCTCAAAAATTTTCCCTCCCTCCACAATTTCTTACACCCACCTGGGTGTGAAATCCGGCATTTTCTGCATCCCTGAGTAAAAAGTTGCATGGACAATGAGTACTTACATTTAATCTGGAACCGGCTGTTTTGGGTAATCCCGAAGATGTGTGCTCGAATATTGGCACAAGCTGCCACAAAATCCATCGCATACTTGTCATCTTTGTCCCAAACTAGATGATCGCCTTCTTTTAACAACTGTCCAGAAGCAAAATAAAAAATGAAATTTTCGTAAGTTAATGAATGATCAAACATAGAGTTTGGCAAGCCAGGCTTTCAAGGTTATCAAATGAAATTTAAAAATTGTTCGATGAAGAGAAGGCTTCCATATTTCATTTGCACAACTAAATGGACTTACGATTACTCAGATGCAGCTTCTTACTGGCATTTAAGATAATGCATTTGAGTATTAAAATTAGCGGAACAATATTTTCCTCTTTGATAGAACGGGATGAACTTGGTAAACTGTTTTAAATTTGGCACTTTTATTTTAAAGATTGCACTTTTTAAGGGCCATGAATTTTTAAGGAACTGATCAATTAGACTCATGAAATTACTCACAGCGAACTGTTCTCTGAGCTGCTTACAACTATTTGCAAAAACAGTATAGCATTCTGCAATACTCCAACATCTTTGGTCTTTCAATCCTGAATCTTCCTCTTTACTACTTCCAGCGGCTGTAAAATTGGAAAGACACTTATTAATATAAATGGAAAAAACGGGGATTATTGAAGAAAACCTGATTTTTACAAACGCATGGATTCAACCCCTACTAAGCGCGCAAAAGTTTTTTTCTTCTGATATTTATTTTATTACTTAGGGGTGAAAAAACTAATTTTGTGTTCCGCAACACATAGATTGGTATATCATTGGTGACAAAAAATTATTAGTCTGCAAATGTTTGACATTTTTTAAAGAGACTTGGGCCAGTGAAATTGAAGAAATACTTGTCAAAATCGCCAAATAATTACATAAAAATCAGTAGGCAAGAAATTTTATTTCCATCAAGATTGGGTCTGTATTGAGAAAAAGGTAAGGATAAGGTGTGAGCTTTCGACCCTTAAACTTGGCAATTTATTGTAGAATTAAACAGCATACATCTTGAGGTTGGCTTTTACTCCAAAAAAAAATTCAGGGCTGATATTAATACATACATACTTGACAGGGTACTTGAGACTAGGAAGCAAACATACCTGCATCAGGAAGTTCAGTTGAAACAAGAGGTGTTGGGGGTCTGCGAGTTTTCCATAAGTTACTCATGCTCAAAAGATACTTGATGTCATCATGGAATAATTTATCAAACAATTTTTGAGGATCATAATTGCAAGACTGAGCCCATGTTCGTGTGGAGACCCGGATGACGTTGCCAGTGTCGTTGGCCTCTGTGTTCAGAGCAGTATCTCCTGCTTTCCCTTGAAACAGAAACACCGAAATTAGAGAAAATGTGAGTCATGAGAACGAAGGCAAAGGGGACTGAGGAATAACTTTCAATTCTTAACAAAATTAGTGTACTTAAAACAAAAAGAATTAAGGAATATTTACTCAAATTTTGACCTCTCATTAAAAACTTAAGAGGAATAGTATTTTCTCCTTTCAGACATGGTACAAGGAGAAGGAAACAACGCTACTCTAGTACAATAAAAAAAATAATTTCTGCAATTAAATATTACATTTCTTTTAAAATTACATTAATCTGATTTTCAGGGCTCCTTCTTATAGAAATTAAGGTATAAAAACTTTTGCGACTCATACAGCTCCTTCAATTTTTTGAAGAAGAAGGAAGAGGAGGCGTGAAGGGAGGTACCGCCCGTTCCTGCGGGCGGGACCTCCGTTCACGCATATAAAGTGGCAAATATCTCGAAAACCGCACATGGGATCTCTTGGGCCTGTGAGAGCTATTGATCAGAATGACTAGTTGAGCAACATATCAAAGTTTCATCAGGTTTTACAGGGGGGGGATTTCCCATAAGGATGAACGGGGTTCTTTGAAGTGTCTCTGTATGCTCGCCCAATACTTCGTAAAAATACGAAAGGGCAAATTGACCCTCTCCTGAAGCATTACAACATTTATGCATGACCTTTAAAGACTGCTTTATATACATACCTGATGCTTCCGGATCTGCGGTGTCAGGGGAGACATCTTCGTCAGGATCATCCTCTCCAAACAGCTGACTGCAAAGACAAACAAATAAAAGATAGAATAAAGAGAAAAATAGATGAAACACTTCAGTTAATGTATATTATTCCTGATCCAAGAAAACATCAACAAATGTAATAATTGTAAGACAAGACAGTAAGAGATCTGACTAATACCTTCACTTTATGAAAGTAGGAAGTAACATTTTAGAGGCTAATCACAAGTATGGTCCAGATCAGAAAAAAATTGGATACAAAAACAAGATGGACATATTTGGAATCACTTTAAGACATTTTTTAAAAAAAAAAAATTTTCCAATAAATCTTCGATTAAAAGATGAAAAAATAAATATGTACTAAGATCCGTTGGTCAAGATAAAACTTGATGAGCTGTACTTACTTGAACAAATGTTTGGCCCAAACAATGCAGTGAATTGGCTCTGAAGGGGTATTTCTGATAGTACAACCAGGATATGTTTTGGAGGCTGTCTTGAGATCACATTCATAACACTTGGTCATTCCTTTTTTGATTAGTTCAACTTGACCTTCATATCCGGCTGTGCCTGACTCAAGAAGTGGAACGTCTGCAGCTAGACACATTCTGTTCACATGATTCCGTGCTGCGCGATTGTCTAGTGCATTGAGAACGACTTGGAATTGTTTGAAAAAAGAGACTCCAAAGTCAGGGCTGAAAAGGTAAAAATAATGATAAAGAAATCAAGCCAAGCGATGGTAATAAAAATCGATGGTGTAAGTCGGCAATCATATAACTCGGTTTGCGACGTTGCAAACTTCCTATCATACTTTATTTTTTAAACAGAAAACTACTCAACGGCAATTTTTTAAAACTGCTGGGATTTTTCCTCGATGTGCGAAGAAAATTCTGCAAAAACTTCAAGGAATGATATCAATTTGTTCTCCTTTAAAAAAATAAAATAGAGGCGAAGATTTTCAGACACCGCAAACGAGTTATGTGGTTGTCGACTTAAACCGTCGAAATACGACAAAACAATGTAAATTTGTAGGAATGAAAATTCTACAAGACTTCCTGTAAGGACTACTAGAAAAGAATGCAGCTAATCTGTCAAATTCTCTTGTTTTGCTTACTTGAGAGAGAAGGTGCTGTCAGATTCAGCAATTAGACGACAATTTTTTCCTCTACAGAAGTTTCACATGTGCCGACGTTATGGACAAGGTCCATAAATACACAAGAGCAGGTGTAAAATGAACACCTGCTAAAAATCTACCTCTCAAAGAACAAGGAGGCAGTAAACTCAAAGAAAAACGTTGAGAAAGATGAAAAGATAACAAAAAATTGGTGCAAAAGGTAGATCATCAATTTGAGCAAAATTATACGGAATAGATTCATACTGTAAAAAATCTACTGACAATATAAGTATTCCAAATTAAACCTGTTTTGAAATGAAATGTAACTTGAAATGACCAGTGACAAATGAAATGACTTGAGCCAAGAATATCTACCTTATAATACTGGCATGGTATGCTTTGATTGAAACTGATGGGTTGAATTTAAGAGCACTTTCTCTTGCTACCACAGCCTTAGATTTTCCGACATGTTGCTTTTGGAATAAGAACTGCCGATTTAAGTTGCTGACATCAATAGTATCTAGATCAATCTGAAAGAAACAAGAACCAAATGATAGAAACTGTAATGGAACAGACACCAACACTCATGTACATAAATTTACAGTCATGGGTAGAGATACTTGCTCTTCATCTCGGTTCTTTTCAGTTACATTGAGACCAGTTGTGTGCCTGCTCATCTTGGAGGAGTATATCATCAATACTTACTTCGTATCCGAGTGTTATCTGTTTAGAAATAAATCGAACATCAATAAGTAATTTTCTTGAGGCTGCAATTAACTGCATAGCTCATGCCTGATAGTAATCAGAGATTGACCAATGATGGCGCTGCCACCGTACGCAGGTATATGAAATAGTTTATCTTGCATGAAAATCAAGAGGAAACAGCTCGGAACTTGTGTTGCGCAAGTTTTAATAGGCTGGGGCCTCGGAGATGTTAATTAAAGTAAGCAATCGACGGGTTTAGTGATAAGACAGATTCTAATTTCTGATTTCAATCTAAAATAACTGGCATGTACATGGCTTGGGCTCAATTGGCTGCTCCGGTCATGGGCAAGATAAAAAGAGGTAAAACCCGAGGACTAGCTGATAGTTGAAGCAGGAAAAGCTAATCTTGAAGAGTGCTAGTGCCCAGCTTTCATACTACAGCAACTCTGGGTGCATGTGTACACAAGAAATGTACGATTCAAATGGACGTACCACCTCGAGGCTTCACGTCAATAAGATCTAATACTTTCGGTCTCAAACTTACTGTCTGGATAAATAGAGTTTGGGGAGGACTAAACTCTGGAGATATCAAAGATAACTTACGATTTCGATGTCACTAAAGCCAGTGAGAACAAGATTTTTGAGAATTTCACAACCGATACCACCGGCTCCGACGACAAGGACTTTGGATTTCTTCACGAAGTCTTGTAGACTGCTCTCAAACACTCCTGGAATTTCTGCTGCCATTTTCAGCTACGGATAAGGATTAATTTCTTAAATGATGAACTTGAAATGAGATGGTTAACAATAACTGGAAGCCACTTTTCACTGAACTGCAAGCATTAGATGTAATTAAAATTTGCGAAAACTGAAGAACTGCTGAATTTTATCAAAACACACAACATTCACTCATGTCGGTCAATTGTCGGTGTATTTCTTACCGACAACGCAACATTCATCTTTTTTTGCCAACGTTGGCGGGTGATGCGGCCCCGAAAATGTCAGAAATTGCCATATCATCTATAGATTCACCAATGGTACACATTAGAAAACATGTGAATACGTGAAAATTGGCAACGTCCTATATTTCTGAAATTTTGTTTGTGCTTCCCGTGTGAGGTTTTGTCATTTGTGACATTTGTGTAGTTGTCGGAAAATTACCGTGAGAAAGGTACGTAAAGGAAATTTATCCATCTATTCTTCATTAATCCTACCTAAGTTTATCATTTGCGAAGTAAACTTTGGTTCTTCTAAAGCTCATCTATCGATCTCATCCCAAGGAACACTCTCTTCGCATTATTTTTCCGAGGTTAAACGTGTCTAAATTTTCCAATTTACCCGACCTTATTCTCTTCTACATTATCCCGTATCTCATCCGGAAAATCAATCGCTGGTGGTCCAGAATTTTCTATTTGCCGTCAGGTAGGATCGTACTATTTGGACAAATATTGTAACTATCAGGATTAATTACTTGACAGCAGGAGCATCGTGAAGTTGACGCTGGCGATTGTTTCCATCCAACTCCTTACAACTGATACTGTGAATCTCCCCTCACATCCATTCGTCCTATCTGAAGCCTTTTTACATCATATTGAGATTGCTCTTTTAATTGCATAGGAGAGTCTTTGAACATAACTGGTTGAACCTGTGACTGCATATCTTATTTGCGCTCAGTTTTTTAGGTTATAGCACACTTCCTCCGAACCCAGCTGGATTGTCGACTCCTTGTTGATAGTTATTTTTCAAGATCAGAACGTTTTCCATCAATATCCATTTATCCCTGCAACCATTGCCGAATGAATCAGATGCTTTTGTCTCTCTTTTCTTGTACCGTTAACTTTCATTTTTCCGATTCTTTGCAATGTACTGAATTATTTACAATTCTTGTTTCAGCTTCATCATGGCCAAAAGTAAAAATCACACGAATAAAAATCAAAGTAAGTACAGTTTAAGAGCACATATGTCAAGGGACTTTTCTTAAGACACGTAATTAATTTTACATCACTCTCTTCTCACTCGTAATCCTTTCAGGATGGAAGCCTGCAGCCTTGAACACACAAAAACTAAATGGCGCAACGGTTTCCTTGACCATTTGTATTTTATAAATGGCCCCTAAGTTTTGACTTATTGTTTTTGACTCAATGTTACTAAACAGGTGTGGCGAGTTCAGACGGGCTGATTCTAAAGATAGATTTAATCAGTGTGTAATTGGAACAGTTTGAAGTTGTAGTCCACAGCTTGAAAGAAGAATGGGGAAGTTCTTTTGACAAGCTCATTTCCATACTACCTTAGGAGAACCAGATCAAATAGAGGATGCGGTGCTGTTATTACAAGGAGAGCTTTCGTCAGTTTCCGCAGACATCCTAATCTGTTTTTATTAATAATTTTAAATACCTCATTGAACCTTTATAAAGTAATCTCTTATATTCATGTATCAGTCTCTTAATAATTCATTTTTTTAATGTTTCAGACAGGAAAGACCACCGCAATGGTATCAAAAAAGCAAAGAAGCACAGATACATCTCCACGAGAGGAGTAAGTTAAACTTCTAGTTTCTTTTATTTAACTTTTATTGAATATGAACAATACAAATAGTTTGTAAAACTATTGTCGTAAAGTGTGAGAAGAGGATTTGATTCCTAAGTGCAGGATAAAAATTTCTGATTTAATAGAGAGAGAAAAAAAGGTAACTTCCTAGCAGATGAAGATCCAGCTGTTGGCTGATATTATTTTCCAATCTGCTGAGAGCGGACTAAGGTTTGGTCTTTTTTAAAATTGTGCAAGAACGCAGGGACAACTGCAGGTATGCTGCAATATTTAGTTAGAAAATGCGTCAACAAAACGGCTGGAAAAATCATGCTCTCAGAAATATGCATAAAAATGTTTTATGAATTAACAATTCAACATTGGTCAAAGCAGACACCAAGTACATAACTATTCAAACTCCTGAGTAGATATGTGATATCACGCGAACACCAAGAAAAATCTTGGCTTTTTCCGTGTCTCAAACTACGATCGTAACAATATATCGCAAAGTACGCCACTCAACTGTCCTGCTGTGCTAAGGATAATTGTCGTATGGACATCCGAGAGTTCCCAAATTTCTCCTCTTAAAACATTAATTTTTTAGACAAATAAAAATGATTTCTTCTTGAAATTTTCTAATACTTAAGATCACATTGTGAAGAAGATTCTCTGGAAAGTAGGACGGAAGATTTTCACGAGTTTTACTAAAAATTTGTATTTTACCAAAGGAAATTTGGCAACGCATGAAGATTCATATGGCGTTCTTCCTTAGCACGGCAGTGTTGACCACCATCACTTATTCACTGAGAAATGCGCGTAAGGCTATCGACAAACTTTATGTTCAGACCCGATTTTTTCGAGATTGGCACCAAGAAAGAGCGATTATTTAAGCTCGTCCTACTCAGGAGATCTTGCATCAATCTCTCAATTTAGGAGACGCTGAATTCGAGTATTTCGTGCGCAGTCCTTTGCAGAACAGATAAGTGAACGTCACGTCCATAAAGCATTATTTTCCCATAATTGATACTGTGCAACTTGATAATTGTTCAATTAAGCATGAATTAAGAAATCAGATATTGATTTCCTCTTTTGTTGATTTGTGCAGGTAGATCACAAGTTCCTGAGGAATTTGAAATACTCGAAGAAAGGCAACCTCTCACCCGCAAAACAGTACGCCAGAATGAAGTCCCGTCTGGAAAAGAGGAAAAAGTTTGCTGACCAGCCACCCATTCAACTAGCTGTCCATTAGGTTTAGTTTTTCCGTTATCTAACTCCAAATTTCCTCCTCTCTGTTTTTTATTTACCGAGACTTGTTTTTAAAAATGAAATAAATTTCATTTTAAATTTCTACAAATGCCTTGTTGTGTAAATTTCCACATGATTTTATACAAATAGGATTCCTTCGGACCAAGTGCTGTCAAGAAAGATGCTAGTTCTCTATTCCCTCTGTAAGTAATCTGTGTCATTGGTCGTTTTATGGTGTTCAATAAATCTCTGGTTCTGGTTTCCAGTACCTCTCTCTCAATTACTATGAATATTGGCCTCTCTGGCCTGCATTTTTTTCATTAGGCTCTAGTTTCTGTGTCACACAGCCCCACTAATGCAAGGTGGCTGATTTTCTTATGAATTGAAACATGTGTAGTTCATTTATGAACCTAGCTGCTCTGCGAATTTTGTTGTGATGGTTTCAATGGTCAAAGGTGCTAATGCTGCTTCACACAGACAAGATAGAAGCAAGTATCATCTTTCTTGACAACACCTGTAAGGGTTTTTGATAAGATACATGAAGGGCTTGGAGGATATGGCGCATAAGTGCAGTTTTTGCTATTTCGAGAAATACAAGTTTAAAATTTAAAGATTACATGGAGCCTTGTAGCACAAAGGAAGTTCTTTGTCTCATTTTAATTTTAATGTGTAGAATTTGACTTTTACCAGTCAAGTTTTCACAGAATATATTTCAAGACGAGTTACAGTTGGAGTCACTAATTTTTCAATTCTCTCAGAAACTACTCTGTTGCGCTTTGTCCTCCAATCCCCTCAGTCCAAAGTATACAGTTTTCCAACCCTTCATTTTGAAATGATTTCTTAAGTTCTTATTTTTTCCCTCCTATTACCGGCAATGCTCCTCAAGGTGATTCAATGGACGCCATATTTTGTGTCAGAACAACATCGCATTGATTGGTGCCATTTTTTCAGCTACTAGTTCTTTTTCTCGAATTTCGAGATCGCAATTCTGTTGTTAGGGGACTGAAAAATTCACTTACGAATTCTGACAAACAAATTCAACGCAAGAAAGGCGTGGTTTTTTTCGAGGAAAACTATCGCATTTGATAGTGATATCAAAACTGTACTCAAATGCGATATTTTTCCTCTAAAAAACCACGTCTTTATTACGTTGAATTTGTTCGTCAAAATAGGTAAGTAAATTCTTTAGCCTCCTGACAACAGAATTGCGATCTCAAAATTCGAGAAGAATGACGAGTAGCTGAAAAAATGTCACTAATCGATGCTATCTATTGCATTTCGTTCTGGCACAAAATATAGTGTCCATTAAATCACCTTAAATTATCTTGTCCAGAGCTGAAGAGTCGTCAATCTCATGATTTTACTAAATTACTCTCCCCATGATTCCAATAGGACTGCAGCCAGTTACATACATGTCTAGGACATTAAGAGTATACTGCATTATTTTTTTAAAAAATATACAATCAGTTGAGGTATTCGACAAATAATTTATTTGGTTTTAAGATCAAGTTAACAATTTTTCTTTCTTTTTGTAGGAAAAAAAAAAAAAAAAATACTGAACAGAAAGTATTACGGGAATTTCGCAAGGAGAATATAAAATTTGCATAGTTGGGTTGTTGTCTATCATTAATTTTCAGGAACTTTATCGACCCAGTAGCCTCATCACTCTCATAAACAAAGCTTTGGTTGTTCAACTTGTTGGTTTATTTTTCCATCATCAGAAAAAAATTGAAACGATTAGACAGGTAGAGGAACCCTGGTGTAAAATTGAGTTTTCTGTTTCATATCCACCCTTCGTGTGTAGATTCTCTGAAGTATATTGTTACGAGTTTTGAGTGAAGTGAGTGCAACTTCCAAAACATTTGCCACCTCAGCACAAAGGTCTTTTAAAATGAGAGAAACCAAGCAACAAAAATTAGCTTAACTATTGTAGATCATCATTTTCATTTTTTGATATTGACAAAAAACTTATTTTTGAAATAAAAGTGGAAGGGCAGTCAACATTAGAGATGAGGCTCTGAATCTTTCAACTGAACTAATTTTTCACAGATTTCCCAGTATTTCTTCCCGAATGATTCATCTTGAATTGCAGTTGTCAGACCAGCCTCCTGAAAAAAGTTAAAGAAAAAGGCATAAGTTATTCCTCCGAGTATTTGAAAAGAAATGCTCAATGGTTTTTCAAAATTTTCTTCCTCTAAATTACTCCCCCTAACCTTCTCTTTCATGTGAGTTTTATGGAGCAAGATTAAATGATTATATTTAATCCATGGCATGGAAGTTAATGCTCTAGTGTGCAACCAAAGATTCCTGTCTTCTTGTTAGTTGATAGGCACTGAAAGTAAACATGAGGATCAGACGGCAGACTCCGTCTCTCCAAAAGTGTGCTAAATTTTTTGAGCGACTTCAGTTGAAAAAAATAAAATTTAGTGACAAGCACGACAATTAAAATGACAAGTCGGTGTTTTTTTTCCAATTAATATTTTTTGAGAAAGGCTTGTTCATATTTCACCTATAAATAATTGAATTAGTGAGAACGAAAACACACTAACTCGGAAAAATGAAAATAATCAAGACACAAAACTGCACAGTAGGTGAAGAAGTTAGTTTAAAAAAAAAAAAAAAAAAAAAAAAAAAAAAAAAAAAAATTGCCTCTGAAAGACAAGGACCTATGGACACTTTAAAGATCCAAGTTGGAATAGAGTCCCTTTATAACCCAGAGTTAAGACAACTCGATTATCAGCTGACTGGCAGCCGGCCTTGGCTGGCCATGGAGGCCGAAACGAGTGCACTCAAACGAACGATATTGAGGGATAAGGATAAGGAATCCTCCGATGTCTGTCATCCAAAAACAACAACATCAACAAAAACTGATCAAAACCTTAAAATTAGATTGATTAGTGGATAATTTCTTAATATATTTTCATTTTGGTGCGATTAAAATAACAATTCACTCTTGATAAACCACAATTTAGTTATATTTTCATTACTTTTGTTCACATTCGAGGTACCGCCATCTTGGTGCACTCGTTTCGGCCTCCATGAGCGAGAACCAATCAGAATTGGATTTTTTTTTAGGCCACTTTCAGCCTAACCAAAAGTGAGTTGTCTTAACTCTGGGTTATAAAGGGACTCTAAGTTGGAACAGACGGCACAGACGCGCTAACTTCAATGACCTTTATGTAATTTAACAATTAAGACTTTTCTGGCCCAGATAAACTCCAGAACATTTGAGGAATTTCTTGGTTCAAGTGCAGACTATCATCCCAGTAAATGAAACATTACAGAATTTAATTTCAAGGTCAGAATTTTGGAAAATGCAGAAAAATGTTGAGGTAAGAGGTAACCCAGGGATTACTCACCCGACAATCGGCGAAGTATTTCCCGCTTACATTTTTCACATCATCACTAACTGCTAAGTGAATTGTAGTTTGAGCTCCCTCTTGTGGCGTCTGAAAGCGAGCAAAAATAATAATGAATAATATGAGATTTTAGACATAGGAATGTAGAAGGTCAAAACAAAACCAGAAGGTTTGCCGCCGAAGTCCTGCGCCGCTCAGTACTTAAGGTTATGCAGCCGCAGCCGTGAAAGGAACGGAAATGAAGACATTTTTTTTTTTTTTTTTTTGGGGGGGGGGGGCTAAGTTGCATATGAAGTCATCAGATGGATAAATTGAACTTTTAAAATGGAACGAATAGTGATAGAGACTTGCAATGTTACAATTTGCTGTGCAGCTAACTTCTTTCTCTTTTTTTTACAAGAAAAAAGGAAGAACATGCGCATTTATCGTATCGCATTTAAAATCCAAGTGGACCATGATTTCGAAAACATTCAGAATAATTCTCTCATTGACTCAAAACTTCTCTTCTAAACTTAAAATTAACACGCCCTGCGTCCTTAAGATGGACTCTCACTCCCTCTCTAAGACTGCCCTAACTCCCGCTCCTTATCTCAGAGTTCAGCGGAAAAGTCTAAAAAAAAGCTGAAAAATAAAATTTATTCAAAATTATAATTGTTTAAAAATGTTGTTAATTTTTGAACTTATCCCCAAGACTCGGTAAAGCAATCTTAGACACCCCCCCCAGTGGTGTAGGTACGTAATACTTCCACGGTGCTTAGATTTTTTTACTAATGTACCTAGTCCAATTGTTCTCCCCCTCTATATTGAAGCACCTACTGACCTACCTTCAATTGGTATGGAAAACTCCTTTTAAAAAAATTAAAGAGCTCCAAATAGTGAGCTCCTTAATATTTCCCGGCTTTATTCAGATTTTCTTTAATGAGTGCTGAATTCCTAAAATCTGACCTCAGATTCGTATTCCCCGTTAAAAATCAGTCTAGATTGATGTATCATAAGTCTAAATCGAGCGTGCGAAAGCGCTTCTCAAAGAGGCGAGGATTTCGCTGGTTCAACGTGGGTGGTCCCCATCGTACGAGATGTGGGTCAGAGGAAGAAAGGAATGTAAGCGCCACTGGCGCTAGTACGGAATTTGTCGAGGTGAGGTTGGCGGCGCGGCACAAAGGAAAGGGTCGCACTCGTTCGCCGCCAGACTGAGTGGCGCTGACGCGTCCTCGAGGGGAAGAGGGGAGGCAGCAGCTGAGGTTAGTTGATACTTTAGCCGCTAGGTGGCGCGCGCTCACTCTCAATCTGATAACTGTTTGAGCTCCGTAGATGTCCGCTTTGCCTACGCACGGAAGAGAAGGCGTTTTGATCATAGGCACTACCCGTGTCACCACGTAGTGCAGCGGGCGATCATTAGAGCGAGTCAATGAGAGAAGTCATACAAATTATTAAAATATGGAAGCTGATATTGTTATTACGGAGAGTAGAGGTTTTAGAAGTGGTTTCCATGATTTGCTTCCCATGATTCTCTCAAGACAAGATGCACCCCATACTATTCATAATGTGAAATAATAATAACATAATTCGCAGTTATAGTCGAAGATTTGATGTCCAACCTCTCTGATAGGCCAGTTTACTTGGCGGCGGGCTTGCGAGGATCTAAAATGACAAGAGTACTTTCATTTCTTCGCTTATACACCTACTTCAAAGATTTCGCTGACCAATCATACATCGCGATGTCAAATCTGCAGCACAAGAGATACTGACATCCTATGCCTGTGCGCAACTATTCGTGCCTAGCAAATATCTTTGTCCTTTCAACAAAGAGTTGAAAGCGCTCTGTCATTTTGGATTCTCGCAGTAAAGCCCACCGTTGGCGCCGCGGGTGAAGTAGTGAGTGCCTGGACAGTTCAAACGCCTTCACTTTCGTGCGTATGCAACACGGACATCCATGGAGCCCGAATAGTTGTATCAAGGAGTAAAAATGAAATTCGTATATTGTTCGTTGATTCTACGCAAACTAAGGGCGCTTTTGCTTGTTTCTCTCACCCCGAAACTTAATTTCAGAGTTGCCTATTTCAGGGATATATTAAACAGTTGCAATTTTCCGAATAATGTGCTAATTATTTAAATACATAACAGGTGGAGGAAACAAATACGAAACTTACCTTAAAAAATAGTTTTACAATGAGTTTTACTGGGAGATTCATGGGGAAGGGAACATTTCTCCAAATTCCAGAATCAATCATTCCTGGATGTAAACAGTTTGCGGTGACACCTGCAATAAGAAAGACAAAATTAAGAATAGAAAATATAAAATAAAATAATGGCCATACTCATGGCTTGGAAGTGTAAAAACACGTCCCTCCATGTGTAAGTTGCTCCAGAAAAACCCCTTTTTGTTTACGAAGTCACTAAATACCCGCCGTTCCATTTTGCTCCATTCCGCTCTACATATTATCGGAGGACACCTTCAGAAAACTGGCAAAATGTTGAAAACCCGTGAAAAGATCACGATCATAAGCAGTAAGTAGGTATTTATCTAAAATAAACCCGACCAAGTAGCACATGTTGCGATAAACTGCGATCACATGGTAAAAAAAATTACTGCTGTAGCATAGGAGCGTCGTGTGTGTTGCCTATCTGCTAATTGAAGGGGCTTCGCTCATCGAAATTTTCGCATTATAAGATTGAGATAAGTTGAAAATTTCCTCTGCATTGCAAATGTCTTTTCGTCCTAATGCAGAAAATGCATTCTACGGGTCATTATGAATCGAAATTTATTGACCGAACGATTTAGAATATTGCAATTTTATTGCACTGAAATGCAACCTTATTTCAATAATTAGGTATCGTTGCAATTTGGGTGGTCTAAAGCATTTCTCCTACGAGGCAATCAAAATCCTCTCAATTGGATACTTATGTAAATCACCAAGAACCACACTTACTTGTTCCTTTCAGTCTCCTGGCAAGTTCCAGCGTGAAAACTATGTTTGCGTACTTTGAAACGTAGTACAAGTATGCAGGTAGCGCACTGACTGGATTCGCATTCGTCAGGTTTAAAGTGGCCAACCTGTAAAGACTCGAAGCTACAACTACTATTCTACTCGGTCCTGATTTTTTCATTAAATCTGGAAACAGAGAACACTTTTAGAATGACCAATGAGAAAAATTTGGACTGACTAAGTATGATCTGTCGAGGGTGAAACTGTGTAATTTTTTTTTTTTTATTAAATACTCGACAGATAAACAGAGTTTGACAAAAACTAGATTTTATGGTTGCTCTTTATTAGGATTTTTTTTTTTTTTTTTTTTTTTTTTTTTTTTTTTTTTTTATAAATTTCAGAGCACTCTTTGAGATTTTTCAAAGTTTTTCTCTCCCCAAACAAACTCCTTTAGCGGCAGAAATTATAACAACTATTCGGGTCTACTGTGGCATTCCCGCTATCCCTCCATAGGTCGCTTCATAGATGATCATCAAAGAGGAAATTCATAAGTGGCAAGGCATACACCTAAGTTGGTCGTGACGTAAAAATGGACGTATTTCTATCAAACGGAACTAAGCGCCATAGGGGGAGGAAGAGAGAGGGAGGCTTGGATTGGCGGGTGTTGCGGAACGCGATGCTCCTTCCGTCCTACACTCGCAATGCTTTTCCATGGCGCTTAGTTCAGTTTGACAGAACTCGCTATCCGGGATTCTAAAATCCTCAAAAGGAACTCAATTTGGTGCTTAGCTCCGTTTAACAGAAATACGTCCCAATGTACATCGGCTCATCAGCCAATAACCTACTAATTGTAAGACCCAAAGATTTCATCATTTTAATTCTTCGCATTTTTACTTTTCACACCGTCTAAAACTGCCCTCCCCCCCCAAAAAAAAATTAAAAATAAAAACAAATAAATGAAAAAAATCTCCCTTTTGCAGCAGAAAATAGAACGTTATAGCTGGCCTTTCAGGTACTCAATTTTGTCAGTGCAGCGCTCTGGCGACTCAATAATTAGAATTCGAAATGGAGAGTCAATTTGCCACCGCGGGTTTCTTGCACTACTGAAATAGATGTCAAGAGGTATTGCCCTGGGGACTTAGGAGGATAAGAGCGGGACTATATAGGTACAGCCCACGCCAACACGGCCCAACTGTGTCATACACTGCCATGCTAAGGAAAACCGCCGTGCGAGCCTTCAGACGTTGCCAAGTTCCCTTCGATATAAACGGACTTCACTGGGCAAATTGTGAATATTTTTTTCCCTTAATTTTCAAGCAGTTTTGTACGCAATTTAATCTAAAATATCTGAAAATTTCAAAGAATAATTTGCATGAATGTCGTCAAAAATACATGTTTTGTCAAGAGAAATTTGGCAACTCTCGAATGTTCATACGGCGTTCTTCCGTAGCACGGCAGTATATACAGCTGCCTTTAGACCTGCGTTTGCTTGCCATGACGTGGAAATGTACATTTCTCCGCTTGCTACCGCCTTCTGTATTTTCTCTACGCCAGATAATGACGGCCGTTCCCCATAATTGAAGAATGGTGACTCACTAATTAGGAGATGAGTTAAAAGGAAGGGGCCATACTGGTTGGTGGCCATGGTTAGCTCCAGACCCTCGGCCGTGGTCTTTCTACCGAAAGTGTTGGCAACTCCGGCGTTGTGGATCAAGACGTCTAATCTCGACTCCGTTCGGTTGATGTCATCCGCGAAGTCTCGCACTGACTCCAGACTGCTCAGGTCTAGACGTTTCAGAAGCACGTTTTGATTGTTCGTCGTTTTTACGATCTCCGCTGAAACAAAATGAGTCCGGAATAAAGTTTCGGGTGTTCAATTACACAAGTTTACACATAAAAAAAAGAAAGAAAGAAAAAAAAAAAACGCTGGGGGTATTATGGATGATGCCTACGTAATTCTTAGGGCTTAGCCCGAAAATTATCTCAATTTTCCGTATTCCCAACTAGATTTGCCTTAAAAACAGGAGTTTTCAAGGAAAATGTAATTTTTTTTCATTTGGTCTCGTCATTTTTTAGGGAGAGTTTTTTAGGATTGGGCCGGGGTGGCTACCGCCACCTAGAATCTTCCCCGATAGTGCATGATTGAGAAAAACCAAGGACATTTCAGGAGCCTGGAGGACAAGGGGCATAAGTAAAGTTTTTGAAAAAATAGAGATATTGACGATTTCAAGTAAAACTAGTTAGTCTTAATGCATATTCTGTGAAAAATTCGCACACAAATCCCAATTTTTAAGCATCAAAAAGTCAGTTTGAACTCTCTTTCTGCCACAAGGGTGCGTGTCCACGTATTTCTCGAAATAGCAAAAACTGCACTTGTGCGATTCTTTACCATAGCTCAAATGAGGAACTATCGATAATCAATCATTCACGCCTCACCACTGCCCTCCTCCCAGCCCCCTTGGCTTGATGGAACTTTTTTCCTGTCTGTGCCTACTTTTCTATTCTTCGTTAGAGTCTCCAGCAGGCCTCTCGGGCGCAGCTTCAGACAGTGTGATTCAAAAGTTCCACACCACTCCCACTCATCTAACTTTTATGCAACTAGGATACTAGCTTGATGGAGCTTTTTTCCTGTCCATATCTACTTTTCTATTCTTCGTTAAAGTCTCTAGACTTTTGGTCGTGCCTTCTTTTATAGTGCGACCCGCTGATCCGCGCACTATGACTTTTTTGCTAATATAGGCTATCGGGTTGGAACTTAGAGAATTTTCTTGAATATAAGGGATCCACTGTTGACGCCAACAAAATCTAGGAGAACCCGGAACCCTTCATGGGGGGCCAGAACCCCAACTTTTTTTTCAAGCGGCAACCCCTACTCTGTGATACATCATTGGGAGGGGCATAAAAAAAGAAATATTTCTTGGGACCACTGCTCCCAAGGTTTCAACCCGATGCCTTAAGTAGAAAAAAACTCAAATGGATGTTGCAAATTTTTTGGATCAGCCTGTAGAAGCATAGATATCAACTCTGCCGTGCTAAGGAAGAACGCCGTATGAGCCTTCAGACGTTGCCAAGTTTCCTTCGATATAAACTGAATTGATTAGGAAAATTCTGAATATTTTTTCGCAAAATTTTGAGACATTTTTGCACGCAATTCAATCTAAAATATCCGAAAATTTTATTAGGAAAAATATGCACGAATTTCGTCAAAAATACATGTTTTATCGAAGGAAATTTGGCAATTCTCGAATGTTCATACGGCGTTCTTCCTTAGCACGGCAGACTCGAGTCTCGTCACGTTCATGTTGCCCACTCTTCACCTCCATCCTTGACTTTTGAGACCCTCGAGGACTACTTCCTTGCCCAGCTTCCTATTCTATCAACGTCACATGCAATACTCAGTAGATATAATTCTTTTTTTACGGTATTTACGCTGATCATGCCGGTGATCACAGAAAACGGGTGTCTCTACGAAACAACAATTGTCAAAAGTAATTTGCTTTGCAAGTCATTTAGTTCACGGCTTGCGCTAAGTCCAGGTTGCGACCTCGTTATAATATGCTTCTCACGTCCGAGCGAAGATGAAGCATCATCACGATCCACCTTTGTCAGATTTTTGGCCAGCTCCTTCGCACGTTCAACGATGCTACCGTGCGAAGGAAAAACTCCGTATGAGCCTTCAGGAGTTTCCAAATTTCCCGCTTGAAACATTAATTTTTGAGAAAAATTATGAGTATTTTTCCTCGAAATTTTCACTAACTTTAGGTCAAATTTCGAATGAAATTCTCCGGAAAATTTGAAGAAAAATATCCAAAATTTTCCTTGAAAATTCGTATTTTATCGAAGCAAATTTTACAACGCCCGAAGGCTCATGTGGCGTGCTTCCTTATCACGGCAGTGTTCTATTTTGCTGATAACCAACAAGGCAGCGACTTGAATTTCATGGATAGGAATATTAGGATACGAATGATCGGCTCCACTCAAAGTTCCTTCATTTAGTCGGGTATGCAATTTGATTTCCGCAGAGTTTAAATAGTTGCTCGAGGCTAACTGCCGGTATCACTATCAACGCAGTACGCTTTCGATTATTATTAGTCCGCCTTTTACGGTAAATCGTCGTTCCCCGGACCAAAGAACGTAACTAAATTCCAACGTTGTAAAATTTCAGGCGTAATGATCAATTTTCGATATTTCCCCATTTGAAGCTGCGGCAAAGAATCGATGATTAGGGTGTTCGTTGCGAAAACCCTGTTTATCGATCCTTCTCCATAGGTTGAAATGGCAGATCAATCGATATATCGCGAAGCACGCCACGCCAGCCGGCCAGCCCTCTTTCATTTCGAGATGGCATTTTGCCTTAGAGTAGCGACTCTTTTATTATCATGCTTCTCTTTAAAAAAAAAGACAGAAAACAATTCGATAATAAAGCACGCCTCGCTGAAATAACTTCACGAGCATATTTGCTGAATACTCGCCACACTGGCTAAATATATTTCGGCTCATTGCGTTACATCTATGACCGTGCGGGAGGATGAGTTTTAAAGATTTGCCAGAACCGCAAACCTCTCGTGGAATTATTATATCTTTTCCGGGATCAGCAACAAACTGTGGAAATCTGGGAAATAATGGGCAAGGGCAGTCCTTGAATTCTACGATGACTAATTCAAATCCGCGATTGCATCCAGTAATTATAGAGCTAGCTTCTCTCCTTCTCTTTGATTGCGCCTTAACTAGCTATCGAATATGAATATCGCCGGATAGAAGGGGTTTTAGGAGAATCTGGGTATATACCTCAATATCGCGGAAACGAGATATTGAGATTCATATTAATCTAAAATCATACTTTCAATCGAAGCGTCACGCGGTCAGTATACTGCCGTGCTAAGGAAAAACGCCGTATGAACATTCGAGAGTTGCCTTTCCCTCGATAAAATGCTCATATTTGAGGAAAGCTATGAATATTTTTCCTCGACATTTATAGAAACGTTTGGTGAAATTCCGAACAAAATTATCTGAAAAATTGGAAGAAAAATATTCACAAATTTCCCCGTGAATTCGTGATTCACTAAAAAAAATTTGGCAACGCCTAAAGGCTCATGCGGTGTTTTCCTTAGCACGGCAGTATAGGGGCCCCTTAGTTGATCGTTTCCCGCGCGAAAGAACGTAACTTCATTTCAATGTTGCCAAATCCCCCTCGCAAATTGCGTAGTAACCGAGAGAATCTTGGGAACTTTCTAACTGAAGTTTTATCTGATTATTCCTCAGATTTCATGCAAAAATCGTATGAACTTTGGAAAAAAAATTTCTCAGGTTTTGCACATCAGGTTTTGTCTCTGCGAAACAAATTAATTTTTTGAGTCAATTTGGCAACCTTAGAATGGAGTTATGCTCCTTTGGCCGGGAGACGACGAGTTTTGTGAGAGACAATGATTTCCCACGAGCATTTTGCGCTGTGAAGCAGAAATATTGTAATTATGGTAAATGAAAAGTTCGGACTTTTTTTTAAATTATCGTTGAAAATCAATAGCCCGGATTTATCGCGAAGTATAAAGACCATGACTAAGCGCATTTTTTGAACTGCGGTTATCGTATAAATACCTCGAACTTTTGATGCGGAGTCCAAGTTACGACAAGCCATGATGACTCGCGCTCCTCTCTTAGCTAGCTCCTTTGCTGTTTCTTTGCCGATGCCTGTAGGGAAGTAAAAATAAATACAACGGAGGTAAATCAGGAGGTAAGATGACAAATGAAGTGTTCAGCAGTAAATAAGCACAGGATTAATGAATATAGAAATCAATTTTCAAAAACTTGTATTTTAGGATAGTTTATGACCTTGTGATTTTAGTTAGGGGCTGCTCATAAAATACGTAACGCTGTAGGGGGGGGGGGGG